CTCACAGTGATCCTGCTGTCTCAGCCTCCCCAGCGCTGGGATTACAGGCATGTGCCTCCACACCTAGTTTCAGTGGCCAGCACGACGCAACCAGGGTTCTGGGGCCAGCGGCACAGCATGCAGTGCCGGGGATCGAATCCGGGTCCTTGGGTTTGCCAGGCAGGCACTTAGACCACCGAGCTATCACCCCATCCCTAGTCCTCTAAAATTTTTACCCAAGTTCCATGCCTCTAAAGCTCTAGAGTCTGCCTCCCAGATTCTCATCCACACAAGATGAAAGGTGCCCACCGTACTCGCAGTGCAGCCTGCAGTCACATCGCCCCCCGCACCCGAGCCACAGGCAGCATCACACTACACGAAGGAGCAGACGCAGCCCTGCGGCGACGCAGACAGGTGTGCGGCTGTCCTGCCCGTGTAAAAGCTCTCAGATCCTCTCTCCCAGCGGTGACCCCACAGCTCCCCTGGGTGAAGTCGGACCAGAATCTGCATGCAGCAACCCTCCACTGTCTGACTATTCCCCTGTGTAAAACAGACCTTTCTGAGGGACAGAGAATAGGGTATTCATAGTGCAAGCTGTGGTGACATTATGGGACCTTTCCTTGAGGAAATGTGGCCTCTTCAGTCACGAATGCCAGGCCCTCTGAGCACTGGCGTAGACCTGACCGCCCGGTGAGGGAGCGTGCTCTTCCCTGCAGTGCCTGAGCTCTGCCTTCTCACTTCCTGAGTTCTTCTGCTGGTGACCAAGCTGGTAGTGACCTGTTGAGCCCCACAGAATATTGTGTTCTGTTAGCGGACCCCACACGCCCTTGTGGTAAGGAGACCCAGTCTGCCCTCCTAGATACTCCCCGCTGTGGAAATGCTGTCACCCTGCCTCTGAGAGCCAAGTCTTCACCTGAACGCCACTGTTTCCTAATCATAAATGACTCCTGGCATCTCCTCTGTCGCTAGTTTGGTGGCATAGGGCCCTGCTGGCAGCACTGACCATGGACGTCAGCCAGTACTGTGCTGCCCACTGGTGCCTTACTATGGCTTTGGTGCCAGAAGTGCCCTCAGGACCCTCCCAAGGGGCATCGTCACATTACAGAGTCATGGCACTTACCTAACAAATCCCTTCTCCATGCCCATCTATCGCCCAGTGCTGCCAAGGCGGCATCTAGACCTCGCGTGCGTCACTCTCAAGCTTTGCGGAGCCGCCAGGCTGTGTATCTGGATAATTTCCAAGTGTCCTTTTCCAGAAGTCAAATACTAAGCCACGAGAGCATTCTTCCAAATCCCAAGGCTCTGTTTGGTATCTTTTAGGCCCCTTCCCACACTTTCTCCCTGATGCCTGGTGACGCATATAAACCAGGACCTGCAGCTACAACCATCAGATGAAATTTATCCCCAGATTAGGAACTTTATTTTCCCATTTGGCCTCGTCCTAGAAGTTGGCCTAGCAGAAATAAAGAGGTGGGACTAACATTGAACAAGACAGGTATCACACAGCAAGAATCCACATCGAGTAGAGGCTCTGCCGGTGTCCAGGCACCAGTGCCTCTGAGGAAGGGGTTCGGCTATCTCTCCTTACTCAGAAGGTTCCAGACATGCAGGCTTGGACTCATCTGCCTAAACCTCCCCATCCGGATCCCACCGCTTCCCTGTCCAGGCCCTGAGTTTGGTGTAGAAAACCTACTTGAGATGTTTCCTTTATAACAGGGATAAAGATTTTTCAAGATGTCAACAGCCAAGTTAAATTTCAGATAAACAAAAAACAATATTTTCATATAAGTATGCCCTATAAAATATTTACAATATAAATTGCATGCTTGGCAAACTCAATGTTCTGAGTTTAATTCCCAGTATCAAAAATTAATTAATTAAAGGGCAGCCCTGAGGCTGTCATCCCTGTTGAGCTTCTGTCAGCGTGAGGAATCAGATGACCCCAACTCCGGGTCACACCTGCCCCTAAATCAGCAGAGGCTCCAGACAACCAGCGCTAAGCCAGGAAATCAGAAGGGGCCCTCTGCTGCCCCCTGGAGTCTGTTGAACCGCATAGCCTTGAGAAGCAGAACGCATCCCCAAGCAGGGAAACGGGAAGAGCTGGTTGAAGGGCAGGCCACAAAGTTAGGGAGCCAGGAGGTACCAGCAGGAGGCGCGCTTGGAAGCCCTCAGACGTGGGAAGCAGAAATACAGAGGTCTGGATCCTATTCTCTATCGTTTGACATCGTTTAAGAAAGCTTCAAATGCAGCCACACACCCCTCCTGCCAGACACGTGCTGTCCTAGTCATTTCTCACCCCGGGACACAACACCCAGCACCAACAATTAAAGGAGAACAGGTGTGTCCTGGCTCGGAGAATTAGCCAATTGCAGCATCATTTTCCAGTTTTAATGGCCACATTTCAGTGTTACCAAAGATTGTTCTTGTTTATTCATTTTTGGTTCCAGGGATCAAACAAATTTGTCTTTGAATTTATTTTTGGTGGCCACGCAGGAACGTACCCCACGGAGCTGTCTCCCCAGCCCTGTTCTTGTTTGTTTAAAATGCTAAGACATCATTAGCTTACACATGGTTAGGAGAGGGGACATGCTTTGCATCGCAGTGGCAACTTTCTGTGATTTTGAGATTGTTCTGAGAATTTAGAATGTTTTTTAATGTACAATTTTATATTAAAAGGAGCCAGGGAGATAGCTCAGCAGCATAAGCACCTGCCTGGCAAGCACAAGGTCCTAAATACAAAAAAAAATATATTAAAATTGCATATATTCGGGGCTGGGGAGATGGCTCAGTAGAATAAGCACTTTCCTGGCAAGCACAGGGGTCTGAGTTCAATACCCAGTTCCACAAAAAAATTAATTAACTAATTAATTAAAATTGCATATAGTCCTTGACTTGCAATTTTAGGATTTTATCCTATAGACATATTGGTATAAGTATGTACAAGCAATAATGGGTATATCTGCATAACGTTACATCGGAAATATGTATGTCAATATTATTTATGGTAGAATTATTTAACACAGCAAATAAAAATTAACTGCCATCACTAGGAGACTGGAAGGTACCTATGGTAAAGTATAAAATCAGTGTTCCACAATCATCAAATAGGATGAAGTAGAGGGCCTGCCAGTTAGCTCAGTTGCTTAAGTGCCTGCTCATGCAAATGCAGTCAGGTGCAGGATATGTGGTTCGATCCCCACCTCCACCTGCCTTACCAGACCTGCCCTCAAGGCAGCCTGAGGCAGCCAAAAAAAAAAAAAAAGGATGAAGCAGACCTTTACTAGCAGTAGTGAACTTACCCAGTACTCACCTCAAGGCAGGTCCCCCTCCTGCTTGTACATGTTTTCTTCCAGGCAACCTCCTCTGTGGATGTCGTTGCTGTCCCCCTCCTGCAGAGGGCATCGCTGAGCTGGGGCCGGTTGGAAACAAGCCCAGGATGCAGAGCTGGTGGAGAAGCAGGTTTTCCACCTCCTGCAGTTGGTTGCAGACTGTATGCTTAAACACACACGTGCACACGCACGCACGCACGCACGCACAGAACACACAAAATGTTGTTAATGATTGTTCCTTAGGAGTGGTATTAGAAGTAGCAATAGTGCTTGAGCTGGGGTTCTGTTCCTCGTGTACCTTACCACAGAGCTTTGTCATGCACCACCATGCACCAGTTTTATACATTTTTAAACCATTAGTTCAAATAAGCACTGAAGTACTGAAACCATCTGCCCTTAAAGAACACAGTCCATGGCAGCCAGATAGCTCAGCGGACTAAAGCGCCTGCTTAGGCAGAGAGCAGCGGCCAGGGTTTGATCCCCTGCGTGCTATGCCTGCCCCGCCCCCCAGGGCATGCTGAGATGGCAATTGAGACTGGGCGTGGTGGCACGTATCTATAATCCCAGCGCTTGGGAAGCTGAAAACAGGAGGATCACTATGAGTCAGATCTGTGTAGTGAGGCCTTGTAGACCTTGTACTAAATAAAATAAAACAAAACAAAATAAACGTAGTCCCGATACCAACTTTTAAGGGATTCACTATGCTTACAAGCAACAAAAAGGTATACGGTAAGGACATGACAATTCTAAGAACCATAGGCTGTGGAAACCCTGGCTGTGGAAATGCTGGGTGAAGTTTCACCATTCCCAGGGTCCCCACACACCAGTTGTCGGCTGGCTGAGAGTCCCTGCCTCAGCCTAAGGCCCTAAATCCCCTAAACCCCGCTCCACTGTCACCTACCCTGGGCTCAGGGTCAGCAGGAGCTCTAGGGGACGTGGTTTGTGGCTTTGGACAGCTCTTTACAAGCTACAGAAGGAGCTGTGGCAGGGACCCCGGGCTCAGCTGCTGCCTCTGCCTTCAGCTTCTGGGCTTGCGCCAGCTGTTCATGTGCTGTATTCCTCTGCACATGTTTGCAGACAGGGAAACCGAGTCGGTCTGCAGCCCATTTTGCTTGATCGTTTTCCACGGTGGGTGGCAGGAGAAGGTGGTCCTGGAGAAGCAGGATGCCATGCTTTCGCATCCAGAGCGATGAGAAGGGCAGCAGGCCTGGCAGCAGGCCTGGCAGCTGGACATGGGCCCTCGCTGGAACTGGCTGGGCTCAAAGCGCTCCTGAACACCGGCCACCGGCCACCGGCCCTGCAGTCCGCAGGAGGTGACAGTGGTTCCCAGCCTGCGTTGTGGCCCGCAGGACCGCGAGGAGGGCCACGCAGTGAGTGCGACCTCCAGACTTTCCCTGGTCATCCGTGCCTGGGTCCCCACACCCCGCCTGCAGGATCTCTATGGCGAGGAGCACGCTGCGTGCGCGCAAAGCCCCACTCCCCAGTCCGAGGCTTCCAGGAAAGCGCTTTGCTGAGCCTTCAGGGACGAGTTTCCCACCCCTGCAGGCGAAGTGACTGGCCTTCGCTCTGCAAAGTTAGAAAGCTCAGCGAAGGTACCTGCGCTACAGGGCGCGCTACGCCGGCGGCGAATCCCGGTTTTGGGGAGGGACCGAGGTGGCCACGCCTCTCCAAGTTGTCCTGCTTTGCGCCGCGAAAGGTGAGCCGCCGCCTTCCTCCCCTAACTGCAGAGAGGCGAGGAGCACGAGGCCCTCCTCCGTCCCGACGCCCCCCGCGAGTCTGCTGCGCCTCAGGCTGGACCCGGGACCCCCGCGCCGGGCGATCTCCCGCGGCGGGGTGGGGCCACGTGACCTGAGGCACCCGGACCTCGCTTCTACGCGCTGGGCAGTCAGAGTGCAGGGCCCCAGCGGCCCGGTGCGCCGGGCTCCTCCCTGCCCTGTCCCTCACAGGACCCGAAAAAACAGCGGAGAGCCGCCCTGGTCAACTGCTCAGAGACCCCAGTGGAGAGGCTGGTGAGTGCCCCCTGAAAAGCAGCTAGGGCCTAGGGCCTCCTGGGAGCCAGAGACGAGACCCAGAAGGGTGCTGCCCGAGGTCTCCGGACACCCCACCACGGCTTCCAGACTTCAGCTGGCCCTGTGCAGCTCCCCAAACCCCGCACACCAGGCCTCCCCTGGATTCTTTGAACAGCTGGGTCTGGGTCTCTGGCGCCCACCAGGGCACAGAGGATGGTGCTCATCAGAAGCCCTGCGGAGGCTGCTGTGCAGCAGCTGCCTGGGGAGCGTCCTCCTGCCCACCCGGGTGGTCCAGGGCAGAGAGCAATGGGGATCCTGGCATGGGGAGGCGTTCCCCCCTTTCCAGGGCCCCTCAGAGCCTGGGCTTGTTGGCATCATCTTGTGTTAGCTGGCAGGCCCTGGACCCACCCTGCTTGCTGTGCAGATTCGGGGACATGGGGACTCAGGGAGGGCAGTGGGCACAAGCTCCAGGTGACCTTGCTCAGCCTGATTGTTACATCCAAACCTGGGGGCCATGGCAGGTGCTCACAGCGTTGCCCAAGGACCTGACTGTGGCCACGTGCGCACAGCAGGAGCCAGGGGGCCAGGCTCATTAAGGCACTAATGAGCTCCAGAAAAAAGCCACAGAACACCAGGTACAGGGCTGGGGGACAGGGCCTGATGCACCGCATCTGAGTGGCTGGGGCAGCCTTCAAGGCCAGCCACCTTGTCCCTTTCAAAAGCTGCTTCTGGCTAGATGTGGTGGCACATACCTAAAATTCCAACTCTTGGGAGTCTGAGGCAGGAGGATCATTGCCAATTAGAGGCCAGCCTGGTCTACAGGTGAGCTCAAGGCCGCTGGAACTGCATGGGGACCCCTCTCCCCGCCCTGCCCATTGTTCTAACTTCCTTTCATCACCCGAGCCTCCAAGGAGGCCATGGTGCCAAATCATCTTTTATGGTCAGGTGGAGAAACAGACCCAGCTCTGGAGAGGAGCCAGTCCCGGGGGGCCGGGCTCACTGTGCAGGGGGCCTGGGCCTGGGCTTGCCCTAGAACTGAGAGCTGAGTCTTTAGGCAGCGCAGAACTTGCACCCACACATGTGTGGAGTTCACCGGAAACCTCTGGAGCCTGGGGTATGGTGCGAAGAACAGGGACGGGCAGGGAGCCGAGCTACAGGGCACTGGTCCAGAGCTTCCAGGTGGGGCCTTCTGGAAGGGGAACAGGGCTTCCACGTGGAAATGTGCTTGCTTTGCTGCTGTAAAAGGCTGGAGATTCCCTCCCTGCCCACACCCATGGGCACAAGTGCTGCCCGCAGAAATAACCGCCCAGGACAGCCCCGAGAGCAGCACACAGGAGGCAGCCATGAAGGGTTAAAGTGGAAGGTGCCACAGTGGCACTTCAGCCACGCCTCTGTCAGCAGGACACAGCCATGCCACACTCCTCAGTCTGAGTCAGCAGGCATCCCTGCTGTGTGAGCATTCGCAAGGACCTGGCCTTGCTCTCTGGTCTCTGTTTGCGCTGCCCAATGGCCCTGTCACTCCAAGCTTCCCAGGTTCCTTGGCTCTGAGCTGGCCCCATAGGTGGTTAAGCCAAGTCAGCCTAGCAGGGAAAACTCCCATGGAGATTCCCATTCCATTTGCCCAAAGTAAGAATTCGTCTTCTGTGGGTGAGGACAACACACCCTTGAAACTTGGGGGACTGGGGCTGGCTTGCAGCTGGTCACACAGCCACAAGTGCTCCTGCAGGATCCCCTCCAGTAGCCCCCTCCATTGTGACCTCCAAGCCACCAGGAGGGCTGCGGTCCCAAGGGTTGGAGTACAGTCAGTGGGTTGGGCACAGACTGCCAGCGCCTCCGGGCTCAGGAACCTCGTGACAGGCCTTATCTGCAGAGCAGAACAAGGAACAGACAGGCTGACGGCCTGCCCTGACCCAGCACACCCCTGGGCGCCCTGCCACCTGCGGCCAGCCCCCTCACTCTATCCCCACATTCTCGGCCGTTGCTGGAGGCAGAGGGTCAGCAGGTGCAGACCCAGGCCCAGGAATGACCGAGACAGGTGACGGGAGTGCTGATTGTCCTGAGGCTGTGACTGTAGCTCTGGAGCTGCCCTCAGCCCAGCTGCCAGTGACTCCATGCTGGGCGGGCAGCAGGCCCCCGAAATGCCAGGGATCCTCGGCTCATGCACCTTGGATCCAAAGTCAAACACATTCTCCACTTGGCTTCAGATTACTTTCTAGAAATTGTTAATTGTTGCTGCAGAGCTTTTTTTTTTTTTTTTTTTTTTTTTTTTTTTTTTTTTTTTTTTTTTTTGCATTTGGTACAGGGTCTACAGGGACTGCGGGGTCTCACTACATAGATGGGACTTGTAGCGATCCTCCCATTCTCAGCCTCCCAGGCACTGGGATTACAGACTCAAACCACCACGCCCAGTCTCAGTTGTCTTAGCATGCCCTGGCGGTGAGGCCGGCTCCGCTTGCCAGGGATTGAACCCCGGCCACTGCGCTGTGCCTAAGCAGGCACTTTAGTCTGCTGAACTATCTGGCCTGGCCTGTTGCTTTAAGCCTCCGTCTGCCCCTGTGCTCTCAGTGGGGACGGTGGTCACAGGAGACAAAGCTCCATGATGCCTAGGCCACACTCTCTGCTCCCGTTCAGCTTATGGTGGAACTGCAAAGCCTGAGGAGCACAGTGGGCATGTGTCCACCTACTCAGCTGTGGCAGGAAGCCCCAAGATGTGCCTGCCGTGACCAGGGCTCCTCCCTCCACGTGGGTTCCCTGTACTTCTTAGCCACAGCCCCGGCTCTGGGGACTTTGCCAACCTAGTCCCCCCTCTGGCCCACACTGGAGGCGGGCTCCCTGGCCCCTTCCCTGGTTCCTACTTCAGCTGTCTGTGCTTGTGTTGGGAAAACTGAGTCTTTATGAGAGGCCAGGATCAGGAGTGGGGAGGGGACAGGTGTCCTTGGCGTGCAGTGGCAGCTTTCTGTGGCCTTTCTATGTGACCATTCCCAGGCCTCTGACCACCTCCTAGAAGGTCAGGCTCAAGGGAAGAGAAACAGGCTTTTCCTCCTATTTCCCATCTCTCCCTGGAGTCCGGGATTGAGACTTCTCACACCACGGCCTGGACGCTTGCTTCTGTGTTGGGAGAGAGAGACTCCTCAGCTGAGGGTCACGCTGTCTACCACTCTGAAAATAGCATTCCCATGAATGCTCTCCTTATGATACTTTTTTTCAAAACTGATAAAAATGAATAAACTCAGTCATCCATCCACTAAGAACTTCCTATGCCATTTCCTTAGAAACCAGACGCCGTGTGTTGAGGAGGCTGTCAGACAGTGTCTGCTCCCCTAGACAGGTTTCTTGCCTAAAGTCCAAGCTCACCTATCAGCGGGGCATGCTAGTGCATGCATGCCAGGTGTCTCAGCACCTGAGTGACTGAGACGGGAGGATCGAGGCCAGCCTCAGCTACACAGGGAGTTCTGCATAGTGAGACACTGTCTCAAAACATTAAAAAAAAAAAAAAAAAAGGAAAAGGAAAGAAAGAAACTCAGTAACTGAACAGTTTATGGGCAGCAGCTGGTCTGATGATGCAGGCTGTGGCAAATGTCTACTGTGTCCGTCCCTCTCAATCAGTGCTGGGCCTGAGAAAGGAAGTAGCAAGGTGGGAGTGGGGAAAGTGTTGTGTTTTGGTTTTTTTTTTTTTAAATTTATTGGACACAGGATCTCACTACATGACTCAGACTCACAGTGATCCTCCTGACTCAGCCTACCCAGTGCTGTGATTACAGGCATGGGCCACCATGCCCAGTTCCAGGGCTCACAAGACACACGGTACTGGGGATCAAACTCGGGACCTTGTACTTGCCAGGCAGGTGCTTAGACTGCCGAGCCATCTCCCTAGCCCGGATAAAGCATTCTAATTACCTTCCCCACTTCTCTTTTTCTGTGGTGCTGAGGAGGAAACCCAAATCACACTGAGCTACACCCCCGGCTCCTTGTGTCTTTTCCTTTGAGACAGGGTCTTGCTGCGTTGCTACATTGCCAAGCCCGAGCTCGAACTTGCGCTCCTCCTGCCTCAGCCTCCCAGAATGCTGGTGCTATTGGGCAGTTCCTTTAGAAATGACTCACCAGCCAAAAGTACTCCAGGTCCTTCTTACCTCAAGGAAAGAATCAGATGAAACCAGCCAAAAAACATATCAGTGAGCCAGGTGTGGTGCACATCTGTCATCCAAGTACTAGGGAGGCTGAGGCAGGAGAAAAGCTCTGAGTTCAAGGCCAGCCTGAACCACATAGTGAGAACCTATCTCAAAAAGAAAGAAAGAAAGAAAGAAAGAAAGAAAGAAAGAAAGAAAGAAAGAAAGAAAGAAAGAAAGAAAGAGGGAAAGGGAAAGGAAAGAGAAAAAGAAAAAGAAAAAGAGTGCCAAAAGTTCATTTGAAAAGTGTGGGCTTTTCTTTCTCTTTTACTATATCTATTGTACCTTTCAGATTTTATTTATCCTTTCAGGTTCTTACACTAAGGAGACAATATGATGTTTGCACATATAAGTCTGATTTATTTCTCTTATGAGTATGCTTCTAGTTGCATCCATTTACCTTGTAGAAGCCTCAAGCTTATCTTTCCTTATAGCTGAGTACTCCATTGTATAAAAATATCACATGTTGTGGGCTGGGGAGACAATAGCTCTGAGTCCAAGCACCTGCCAGGCAAGCTCAAGGATCCAGGTTCAATCCCTGGTACCACATTCCAAGCTGGCCCCACAGGAAGCTGGCCCTGAAACCAGGTGTGGGGGCACACTCCTGTAATCCCAGCACTGGAGAGGCTGAGACAAGAGGATTGCTATGAGTCCAAGCTGCATAGTGACACCCTGCACCAAAAAAAATAAAAATAAAAAAATCACATTTTATATCCATTCCTCAGTTGATGGTCATTATGGTTGTTTCCAAGATTTAGCTGTGACAAATGGCATTACTATAAACATGGGTGTACATATATCGCTGTGATATGATTTTTTCAGTTCTAGAAAAGTACCCAGAAGGAAAATAGCTGGATTGAATGGGGTTTCTAATCCTAGCTCCTTGAAGAGCCTCCACACTGATTTCCATAATGGTGTACCAGTCTATACACTCATAAACAATGGAGAAGTGTTCCTTTTTCCCCACAATCCCACCATCATTTGTTATTGATTGACTTTTTTTTTTTTTATGTATTTGCTCCAGGGTCTTGCTATGCAGCTCAGACTTGTAGTGATCCTACTATTTTCAGCCTCCCCAGTGCTGGGATTACAGACGTGCGTCACCACGCCCGGTCTTGGAGGCTGGTATGTCGTATGGGGGGCAGGGCTGGTGCTGCATGTGGTACCAGGGATTGAACCCTGGTCCCTGCACTTACCAAGCAGGTGCTTAGACTGCTGAGCTATCTCGCCAGCCCATTAGTTGGCTTCTTGATGAAAGCCATTCTTTCTGGGGTGAGATGGAATCTCAGTGTTGTTTTAATTTGCATCTGTCAAATGACCAGGGCTGTGGAACATTTTTTTCGTGTATTTATTTGCCATTTGTATTTCTTCCTCTACAAAGTATGTATTAATCTCAGATGCGCATGCTTGGATTGGGGCTTTGAATTTTGGGGGTCTGATTTTTTAGTTTTTTATATATTCTAGATAGAAGTCCTTTGTCTGAATGACTGTTGGTAGAGATTTTTTCCCAACTGGTAGGCTGTCTTTTCACTCTGTAGGTGATTCCTTCTGATGCGCAGATACTTCCCAGTAAGATGAGAACCCAGCTGATGTTCTGAAGTATTTCCTGTGCAGTTTCAGTTTTGTCTTATAGTGCTTTGTTTTTGTGTTTGTTCTTGTTGGCTTTGTTTTTTTCTCTTTAAAATAAAAAAAGAAGGGATGATTTAAAAAATAAAGAAAAATGTGAAGTAAATGGGCACAGGAGAAGCCAGCTCTGCAGAACAGAACAAGAGGAAAAAGGATAACAGAAGAAAAGGGTCTGGGTAGCTAGCTCAGTGGCATACGCACGTGCCCGGCAATCACAAGGTCCTGAGTTTGATCACTGGTACCGCAAAAAACAAAATAAATATAAAAGGAAAAAAAGGGCAGCTTGCACTTGGGAATCAAGTGGGCTCTGTGGGAAGCCATAACGGCAAGCCCCCTGGGGATCTGGTCTTCCTTTGTGCCATCCATGTCTCATGGGAGCAGTGAGAAGCCCCACATATGGGGTCCTGGGATCTTGTCACGGACAGGTCCTGCTCCCGTCCCCAGGGTCACCACACCCAGCCTCCTCCACCCTGGGCTCACAGGTGTGCACCACCACACTGCTCCATTTTTCAGTTACTTTAAAACAGAAAATATTTTTCCAGTACTCTGGTGTAGGAGTCACTTCCAGGACCTCCTCTCGGTCCAAGAAGCCAATATTTATAATCCCAAAGTTACGTTATTGGAATCCCATCAAGTTGATTCCAATCTACCACTTACAAGGCAACCCACAGCGAAAATAAAGACACTAAATTATATTTTCAGTCATCGGGGAGTCAAGGGGCTCTATGTCCAGCCACGAAGATGGCTTTCCAGAACCAAGAGAGTGACCCAGGGCCTCATCCACTTTTTATTCAGTGGGGGAGTGGCTTGAGGATTGACTGAGAATTGTGGGAAGTAGGTGACCATTGTGAGCTGAGCTAGGTGGGCGGCCTACATTTACCTAAGGCCAGTTGATAAACAGAAGTCCCAGCCAGCTCTGTACATAGGAAATAGGGTCAGGCTCAATCAAAATGGAGAGCTCTCTTTCAAGGAGAGCTGCTCAGGTGGGCCTCCACACTTTGGAGGATAGCTGTGGAGCCCTGTGGAAATTTTCACCTTAATTAATATCTGCCAACACAATGTCACTTTTACTAATCGGCCACTTGGGCACCCAAATCAAAGCACACTTCCAGCACGCAGCAGGCTGTGTTCACATTTCTGCAGCAGCTCTTGCCCCGCTTGGAACTCTGAAGCAAGGGTGGGGTTGTGGCTGGTTCTGGGGCTCCACAGAGAGCGCCCTGACAGCAGCCCTAGCCCCGCCTTCCCAGGAAGCGCCTCAGTCCGGGGATTTGCTGAGGCCATTTATTGGTGCTCACACACACAGTCCCCCAAAACTGGCCTTCAGCCCCCTGGCCTCCAAACGCACTGGGCCCTGGGACCCAGGAGTCTGGACCAAACTGCTGCGGGTGTCATGGCAGCATCCTCACGGGAAGTGGCAGGGGCAGAGAGACGGGGACTTTGTCAGGATGGAGCAGGCCTGGGTGCTCCTGAGGCAAAGCACAGTCCTAGGACAGGAAGCGCCATGTCGCTCAGTGGAGAGAGCACGCTCATCTGTCTCACGGGGAGGAAGATGAGATGGTGCTGTACCCTGGGTGGGAAGCCATTCCCTTTTGACATCTGAGTGCCCTTTCGGCTCTTACTTTACGACTTAGTGACCTCCTGACCCTGTGACCTGGCAGGTGAGAACTGGAGAAGCAGCAGTGATGGAGAACAGCCTGGACCTCTCCAAGCTCACGGACGAGGAGGCCCAGCACGTGTGGCAGGTGGTACAGCGGGACTTCGCCCTGCGGACGCGGGAGGAGGAAAGGCTGGCGTGAGTGTCTGGGTGCCAAAGCCAGGGCCACAGGTGGGGTAGGGTCGGTGACACAGAGAGAAGCTGTGATCCGTGATCACAGCTTCCTAGACGTGCTCTCCAAACTGAGTGGTACCTGGGCCTCGACCTGTGGGGATGACAAGAGCCGTGACAGCACCAAGAGCCTCTTGCTGCCCCTCGGCTGTGCCAGGGTATTGGCATCCGTGGGAGTCAGGGCACAAGCAAGCTCCTGCCCTCCCCAAAGGGCTCCTCTCCCGCAGCGTGACTGCCACATGTGTGCCACTATCTTCCCCTCCATCGGCTTCCTTCTGACTCCCCTGACCTGGGCATCTGTGGGCCACCAGCCCCCGTGACCATTCCCTGTGAGCAGTGTGCGTGGGCCAGGTCAGCCTGTTGAGGAGGAGGCTGTGGGCTGTGAGGTGAAAAGCCAGACCCAAGCCTCCAAAGGTGTGCTACACAGAAGGGCCACCAAGGATGACCAAGCACGCCCAGCAGGCAGAGATGGCAAGGGGCAGAAATACAGGGGAGTGGAGGAAGGGCTGCAGCGGTGGGCCCCGAGATGTGGTCATGTGGTCGGATGTACTTGGAAGGCACAGCAGACAGTTTGTCCATGGACTGCCCGGAGGAGTTGAGGGCAACTCCACGGTCGTGGCTGAGGGCAAAGCTGAGGGCAGCCCTGAGGTCCAGACTGGCCTTAATTGCCCCCACCCTGTTGGCCCACATTCATGCCACAGTGTCCCATATGGAATTCACAGGTGCTCAAAATACATGGCAAACGTTAGGGCTGGGGAGATAGCTGAGTAGAATAAGCTCTTGCCTGGCAAGCACAAGGGCCTGCGTTCAATGCCTGGTTCCGCAAAAAAAAAAAAAAAAAAAAAAAAAAAAGTCTGGGCCTGGGGATTTGGCTCAGCACTAGAATGCTTGCCTAGCAAGCTAGAAGCCCTGGGTTCAGCTCAGCACCAAAAACAAAAAATAAAATCTCCCCTAAAAAACAGTTCAACTGAAAAAATACAGTAAAATCAAAAAATACCAAAAACAGACAAGGCAACTACATGGCAAATGTTTAAGTCTTTTTAAATGTGCTGCAGTGAGACACAGGGCCCCTGACCCCCTCAAAGTCTCCCCAGACATGCCCACCCCGTCGTGCCTGCTGCTGTCTGGGGAGCACTCCTGGGCATCCTCCTTCTGGCCTTTATGACGTGCCATCAGAACCACCGTGGATGCCTTTGCCGTGCCACCCAAGGGAGATGCGGTGCTGCATTCCTGCCACCTTAGCCCTGGGAGCTGGTGCCATGTGGCTGCTGACTGCCCCAGAGTCAGAGCGACCAGATTCAGGACATCGAGGTGGCCGTAAGAGCATGCCTAGAAACGCTCAGGAAAGGGGACTTGCAGACCTGCTGCCGGAAGTGGCAGGAACCCCAGGAACAGGAACTCTGAGGAGGGCGAATGGCAGTGTCTTCCTGTGTTAAACCTTTTCATGTAAATGCTGGCTCGATTTTTCAATCACATTGCGTAAGGGAGAGGAAGGGCAGTGCGCAGAGGGACAGCCAAGGTCAGGATCTCGGGAGCCGGCGTCGCTGCAAAGCCGGCCCCAGCGGTGCACACACCTGGGACACGGGAGGGAGCGAGCGTCCCATCAGCGCGGGGTCAGTGGTGGGGTTCTTGTGTTCCCGCTTGATTTCATGTCTTGTTCACACTTCTGCCCTGTGTGTCACGGAAGGCAGAGCTGCCGCTGCCCGGCAGGCCTGTCCCAGAGTCCTGCCTGACCCCAGAGCGCAGCCCTGGCCACAAGGTGTGGGTTCTGAGGCGGCAGCAGGCGGGGAGGCCAGCACATGTGGCGACCCCCTCTGCTCAGTCGGGTGAGCCAGGCTGGCACATAGCAGGACCACAATGCAAACAAGCAGAAGATGAAGACCCTGTATTCTGGACCCTACAATGGCCCTGGTGGGGCCAGACGGCTAGAATGCCAGGCACCAGTATGAAGCTGAGGGTGACTCGGAAAATAATGAGCCCCCTTCCTCATCTCTTATCCGTGTTGCGCTGCGCATTTAGCCAGTGTTGCTGTCGCTATGTGGCCACCAGAGCCCCACTCTCAGGCCCATCTCCACGCTCCTCCTTGCTCTTCTCATCTCCTGGGTCCAGGTTCTTCGACCTCTGAATCAACAGAGGCTGAGGGAGGCCCTCCCGTCCTCTGTGGACGCTGCATGAGTGGCCGTGGCAAATTCAGCAGTTGGGGAAGTGTTGGCCTCTCATGGCTTGGCCACGTTCCTGTGGGACCTCCAGTGGGTGGCCTGGCTTGGAGCATCCCACCAAGCATGAGATCAGAACAAATCAATGCAGGGGACACTGAAAATCCAAGGTGGGTGTGAAACAAGCCACATGTCATCTGAAAACGCTTCCCTGTGGCAACACATGTGGGCTCCAGACCAGTGCCTCAGGAGCAAGGTTGCCAAGGGGTGATCCACCAGGCAGTCAAACCACTAAATATACAGTCTGAAAACAGTGCACCCCACAATGTCTCTGAACGTTCATGAAGTTGCCAGAGCAATGTGCCAGGCAGGCAGCTGTTGAGTGTCTCTTCCTGGGTAGAGCAACAATTACCCCAGTCTGGCACAGCCTGGAATTGCCACTGTCCAGCCAGTGAAACATGAGCTGGCCCAGATCCCACTGTGCTGCAGCGGGCTTGTGGTGACCAGGATTCTTCCCCTGGCCTGGCCATCGTCCTCTAGGCTGGCCGAAGCCATTCTTTATAATCCCACCCCTCTGGGGGTCCTCACTGCACCCCCGAGGTGGCAGTCACCTCCCCAGGACTACGAGATGAGTTTCTCTCTTCCTGGCCTCCTGGCATCTCCGTCCAAGCAGAGCGCCCTTATTCCAGAGTGAAGGCTGGACCTGCAGGGCTGAGTCCTCCAGTGCAGTGCCCATGTAGCTGCTGGAGGAGCCCTGGGAAGGACTCTGCTTGCAGGCAGTGGGGTCCCAGGCAAGGAGGAAGGGAGCCTCTCCCCCTCCACTCAGTCCCAGGTTGACCCGAATCTCTCCCTGGAGTCCTTCGTTCATGTCACTTGGTAGTAACAGGTTTTCAGTACAGAAAAGGTCATCACGTGTTATTATTGTTAATGTCATGCAAGCACAAAGTCCTGCCAAAGTAATCCTTGGCCAGGACACTCAGGAGCAACGCCAGCCTGCGAGCGCTGCCTTCCCCTTCCCTGGAAGAGCCTGGAATCCCTCGGGTGGGGCTTGCTCGGTGCCCGCCCCATGGCGTCCAGCTTATCTGCAGTCCCATCGGCAGCTGTGTCCTGCGCCGTGGGGAGGCCACCGCGGCAGAAATGACTGGCCGGTCCTAAGGGGTGAGCGCACGGCGGCAGGACTGGCTGAGTCATGACTCAGGCGGGACTGAGGTGTCTCCATGGAACACCCTGCTCTGCAGGCACAGCCTACAAATCAAATATTGGGCCTTCAAACCTTCCCAGAAAGGCAAACAGGTGGTGGGGTGGAGTTTCGATCTCTGCAAACAGCCAAGGACTCCTGAAACAATCTGATCCATGAGAGGTTTCTCAGAGGAGACATGGGTGATGGTGGCTTACAGGAAAATGGCAAGGAGAAATTGGGAGTCGCCCGAGCTGGGCCCCTGGGCCCCTCAGGCAGAGGCTCAGGCTGAGAAGGCAAGGGAGGAACAGGAAACTGCGGCCTGCTCAGGGCTGAGGCGTAGCTCTGGTCTGAGATCACTGGCCAGATTCTCTGGAGCTCTCCTCTGTGACCTGTCACTCGCATATCCCCTCTTCCTTCCTCCATGTCATCTCCAACCACCGCCAGCGGCTCCCCCACAAGGACCTCCAGGAACAGCGCACACTTCTCTTTCCGCCACATCACAATTCCTGAGATGCTTGCTCCTCATCACCCTTAATCCCTTTCCTCCTCTGTCCCCGGCTGTGCCCTAGGAAACTCGGTCTCGTTGGTTGCCATGATGGCCATCGTGTAGGTTAGCGTCTGAGCAAGTTCCACCAGCTCTCGCGCTGCTGCGGCGTCCCAGGGTCAGTGCTGCTGGGGCAGGCAGCACGGGGCCGCGCCTCTACCCCCAAGAGATACCCAACCGTGCCTGGGCAGGCCAGGGACTGATTCTCCCCGCTGCACCTTGATTTCAGCTCAGAGACTCCCATGTCACACGTGGGGACATCAGAACTATAGCCTGGTCTTCCTCAAAGTTGCGATTCAGACATTGTGGCCTTGGCTGTGCACAGATTTTCCTTAAAATCTAACTAATAACTGATTGTTCAGGGAAAACCCTAACTGCTATGGAAGCTGCACGTATCCTTTGCAATTGCTTTTTTGATGGGAGAGGTTTGCAAGTAGCCAACCGAGGGCGAGACACATTGTCCTCGCTACGGACTGGCTGCCGCCTGTCTCCCAGCAGGTGCCCCGACATTGCACGTCAGCACACTGCTATGCCCCAGGTAGCTGTCTCCAGCACTCTCGGCTTTGTTCTTTTTAAGTCCCTATGATCTGCCAAAAGGCTCTGCACCTTATAAGCTTTACTATACGATATTTTATTAAATAAATTATGTAACTGCAGGAGACAGCATGTTTAGGGTTTAAACAGTAAAAATAGGCACTTAGAGACTTTGTCCTGACCATATCTGAGATTCAGTTTTTCCACAATTTACAGGTGTTCTAGGAACATAACCCTGTGAATTTCAGGAGTCTACAGTAAATGTTTTGTGCCAGAGAAGTGTGTGAGGCCTGGCCAGTGGCTCACAGTACAGATCCACTGCTGGTCCCCTCCAGCTCCTAGCCGTCCTCCTGGTGGAGCAGCTGCTGTGTGTGCTTTAGGAATGGTCTGGTCCTCGCAATTCCTCACCAAGACTGGCTTTGTCACCTGTGTCTGTGTCACCCGCCATCCAGCGTCACTTCAAATGGGAGGGCCTTGTGTCTCTGCTGTTGCTCTGCTCTGGCAGGCAGCATCTTCGTGCGTCGCTAGCAGCAGTCCTGATTCTGTGGTGTGGTCAGAAACTCACAGCCTGCCCAGTGGTGTGTGGAGGTGCAGCTTGGCATTGCCGGCCTTGGGAGTCCCCAGGCCTTGCACAGGAAAGCTGAACCTGCAGCTTCTCGCCTCACACTCCGCTGCCCTCCTGGTGTCTGCTCCTGGCTCAGCTTCTCCTCTCTCCCCTGGGGTGGGCCGGACCAAGGTTGGGCCCTGCACAAGGGTCTCACGGTCCTCACTGGGATGTAGTTCATGGGCTCTGAATGCTGTACATTGTCTGCTGGCCAGTCATGGAGATGTGGACAGCACCCGCTGCTGGGACCCTGACCCCAGGCCCCCACATGCCAGGACCCCTTGTACCAACCCCACATCTCTGCCAAGACCCTGGCTGCTCAGCACCACACCCTGTTGAGTGTGGTCTAAGAACCACAGGGATGCCGGACACCCCTCCCCATCACCCAGCATGAGCCTGGCCAGTGGCTAGGGTAGCTGCTCTACCTGGACAGGTGTCCAGGACCAGGCATCCTGGCCTCTCTGCTTACCATCACTCACCACCCCACTTTCATCTGGGCTCCAGCCCCAAGCGGCTCAGAGCTGGACAACAGATGTGACCAGCTTGCCCCAGTCCTCTGCACCCCTGTACGCCACCATGGCTGGAGGGGACGCCCCTGGGCCTGGGCCCTGTCATCTCCATCTTTTCCTCAGAGACACTGAGCACCTCCCTTGGCTCACCTCTGCGTCCACCTGTCACCTCTCCTGACGTCCACATCCCAGAGTGACCCAAGGCCACTCCTTCCGTTCCCCCATCACCCCCACCACGCAGGGCCTACTCACCCCAGGAGTTCATGCTCCCCCCTGTTGCCACCACTCCACTCCTTTCTCTGCACCCTGAAGGAAAAGCTAACTTGACTTCAAAACCAGCAGTTCTCAAGCCGTTAATCTTCAGGTTCTCTCCGCGTCATGAAAGTATCAGGAATTCTCCAAAGCATTATTTCTGTGAGCTACATCAGTCAACAGCCACCAAATTAGAACTTCAAACTAGGAATTTTATCTATTCATTCATTTAAAAGTTAGCACCAGCAAACCACTTCCATGTTAACAGGAGCGTATTTTTTCTAAAACAAAACCATGAGTGAGAAGAGTAGCACTGATCTCTATTTTCAAAAATCCCTCCAGCATCTGGTGTGATGGGGCCGGCACACTCCACCTGGCCCGTGTGTGCAGAGTGTGCCACATGTTACAGGAGCAGGAGGATTTGGAGACAATCTAGCCTAACACATATCTGTACTTGAGAAGTGGTGGCGTAGTGTAACAGCCTTTGCTTAGAGAATTATGGACATTACGTTCCACTGCTACTTGAAAACCCCGCACTGGGAAGTTCCCTAAAGGTCAGTCATGGGATGGCCTCTGACCGGCCGGTGAGCCTTGCCCGCTCTGTTGCATTCGTGTCACCAGCCTGTCCTGTGCCTGGAGTGAACCTTCTACCCACCTGTGACTTCCGTGATACCACACACTGTCATTTAACAAACACCGCCGCACTGAGTTGTGCGGATTCCACAATGTGCTCCTCCTATGTGACAAAGGGACACCACAGGAATCCCTCGCTGGGACTGTCAAGCTCAGAGTGAAGGACAGGAGTTTTCAAAAATTCTGCTTTGTGTTTGAAAGTGTTAGTTTTGTCAGTGGCAATGAATCCTGTGACTCTTTGCCTTGAAGTGGCAGGCTCACTTTGTTCATCTTAGAGAAAAGAACTGCCAAATACTCCAGTCAGAATAGTTTATCAATCAGTTCTTCATCCAAGTGAAAATGGTATTTCATAATAAGTTCCTAGTTCAGGTCAGAATTCAGACAAACCAATTCTTGCTTCAAAACATCCCCATTTGTGGCTGCAGGCGGGCGTCTTCCTGCCTTCCTGGAGCAAGCGCTAAGGTCATCTGGCCGACCGGGGTCTGTTCTAAGTGCGGCGTGTGAGTGGCTCTGCCCACGGCCTCTGCCGCTTCAGCTTGGGTCGATGTGCCAGCAAGAGTCCCTGGCTCGGGCGTGGGCCTGCTCTGCCTCCCTCCTGCTCCGCAGCTATGGAGAAGGGAAGTTACGCTTTAAACAATCTGAAGCAGATTTCAAATAGATCTGTTGTCCTCCAGCTCCAGACCCCTTCAGGGTGCCCCTTGTATTAAGAGGGCAGAGCATCCGGAATGTCTTCCTCTTCCTTGCTGCTGGGTCCCAACCCCCACCCTGTGCACACACGTGCGTGCGCACACACACACTCCCATCCTTAGTTCTGCCTGGGCACACATGCTGATGGGGAGAAGGCTGGACAGCCCTGCAGGGAGGGATGGCCCTCCGTCCCCAGGGCTGGCAGTGGCCCTTCCACCAAGGCTTTCTGGTTCTCAGTGAGGCAAAGGCCGCCTGGCTGACACAGCTTTGGCTCCTCAAAGCAGGGCAGATGACGGTCCTCCTAGATTCCCGCGGCTGTTGGCCCATCCCGCCTTGGTTTTCACAGCGGGCACCACTGTCCTATTTTGTGATCTTGTGAAGTCAGCAGCCCCCCGATCCTGAGGTGCGCCACGACCCCGCGGGTGCACGACACCGGGGATCACGCCGCACTTGCGTAGCTCTGGGCTTGCCCACATCCACACACCGACAATGAAGTTTAGCTTATAAGCAAGGCATAGTGAGAGACGGCCAACGTCACTACTAATAAGATAATCGTAAAAATGTGATGTAAAAAAACTTCTAGGAAAGGGCCAGAGAGATGGCTCAGAGGAAAAGTGCTTCCCTGGCAAGCACAAGGGCCTGAGTTCAATCCCCAGTTCTGGAAAAAAAAAAAGCTTCTAGGATGGTAGTCTCTGTGTCCCCCTTTCTCTCTCTCAAAATATGTTCCTGGGAGCCAGGGAGATAGCTCAATGGAATAAGTGTTTGCCTGGAAAGCGCAAGATCCTGAGTTTGATCCCTGATACCAACAAAACTAAAAAAAAAAAAAAATTCCTGTCCTGCACTTGGCATTCTTGTCCCATGTGAGTGATGCAGTCTGTAATGGGAAGGAGGAATCGGTGACGTTCACCCACGCCTCCATGGACTAGAGGCGGCCTCCTACACCTCTGTCCCCTGGCCACTGCTGAGCTGTCCCTACCATGCTAAGAACCTCTCAGAGTTCTCAGAAGACAGTGGCCCTAGTGTCCCACCTTTTTTGTTATGATGGATGGATTAATTTTGTCTCACCTAAAACTAAAAGTATTGTGCTTTGCAGTCACTCTCTGAAACTCAGAACAGAAGGACACGGTCATTACTATCCGGGCTGTGTTTTTCTTGGCAGGGCCACCAGGAAGCTATGTTCAAACCCAGGCAGTCTCCAGCGGTGGCTTCCAAGACTTCCGGGTGCTGGCTCACTCCTGCTCTGGGGCCTCGCCACACCAGACCATTTCAGCCACGCTCCCCAGGATAAGCCTGAGGGCTCCCCCATGTGAGGAGAGACCCCCAAGTGCTTGCCAGGGAACAGCCTGGCATCCAAACCACTGGCCTGACTGTAAAAGCCACAGAGATGTGTAAATACAGTGTCATTTCTATGACAATCAAGTTTCCATGCCAACCTCATGGTCTTTGCCATAGGAAGAGTGGCACTGCGGGTGGTAAGGATGCCCATGGCTGCATCTCACTGTCCTCTGCACACGAGAGTTCGTGTGTGTGCACACACACACACACACACACACGCACGCACACGACATCAAAACTCCCAGTGTATTTCTCCTTTTTGTTTCTCCACAGGCAGCTGAAGGGCAAGATTAGGAAGGCGAACTCTAAGAGGGAGCTGCTCTCCGACACGGCCCATCTGAACGAGACGCACTGCGCCCACTGCCTACAGCCCTACCGGCTCCTGGTGAACAGCAAGCGGCAATGCCTGGACTGTGGCCTCTTTGCCTGCAAAAACTGCAGCCGTGCCCACCCGGAGGCACAGGGCTGGCTGTGCGACGCCTGCCACCTGGCCAGGTGAGCCAAGCCCCGAAGTCCAGTCAGCCTGAAGGCTGCTGGCCCTGGTGCCTCCCTTTGATGGGGCTCGCCAAAGAAGGGGGGCCGTGGAGTGCATGGCGTTTGCACACACCCGTGCAGCATGCAGGCCACACCATGGCCTGTGCCGTGTCCCCACAGGGTGGTGAAGATCGGCTCGCTGGAGTGGTACTATGAGCACGTGAGAGCCCGCTTCCAGCGGTTCGGGAGTGCGAAGGTGGTGCAGTCCCTGTGTGGGCGGCTGCGGGGTGGAGGTAAGGAGGGGCCCCCAGTGCATTCTGTTCCTCACCTGTGCTAACATTTCCTCAGAATGCAGGTTCCTCAGGGAAGAGATGGCCAAACTGCCCATTCTGTCGATTGTTTTCTAGGAGAAGGGCAAACCCTTGCTTCCCCATGCCTGCTTCAGCCTCCTGGGAAGCCCTGGTGCTAGGAACGTATCCACAGTTTAAAGCTGTGTTTTTTTCATAACACTATAGCAAGTTGAGGACACACCGCTGGGTTTGTTAGCCCTGTACTCCCCTGAGTGTGTGTTACTGCTATTGGCCCCTCGGACTGGCTTCCCTGGCTGTCTTGCTCGGGCACACACGTCTCACATACTCCTTGTGGACCCTGGGAGGTAGGGAATCTCTTGGCATTTAGTCCTTCGCTGTGGTGTTTGCATTCAAGTCTTTACTTTGTGATGCATGTGAGCACACAGTGCGTTCTCCTCAGCAGCCCCCATGATACCTTTGGAAGGAGGAAACCCAGGGGAAGGGTGGGGCTGCACTGCTTGAACCTGAAGGGGAGTTCAGAGGTTTCTGGCTCGTCCCTGTCCTGAGTCCTGGGCCTCAGCCTACTAGCAAGCCTGCCAAGCATTCACACAGGCCAGGCAGCCCACTGGGCCTGGCATGCGGGTCCCAGCTCCCAGGATGTCCTACGGGGCCCAGCAGCTACCACACAGCAGACACCAGGCACATCCAGAGCACGTGCCAGCTGCCAGGTGAGGGAGTCTCCCAGGGCCTCCCCTCGGAGCGGCACGTTACTCTGCCTGTCCCTAAAGCCCAGTGGGTAGGGAGGAGCAGAAGTTGGGCACTGCAGACCTTCGGGGCATCAGAGCCCAGGCAGGGCTGGTGCAGACGTGTCCAAGGCAGAGGCAGAAGACAGAGCCCCTGAGCTGTGACTGCATCTGGCACCTATTGCCCCAGGACACAGGCTGTGTCCACCTTGTGGGAGGGGGCTGGAGGCATGAGTTCAGTCATCCACACTAGGACCCTGTACCAAGGCTGGGAGCAGCTGTCCCTGTCTGGGTCCTGCTGCTTTGTGACTGCCCCCGCCCCCCCAACTGGAGCCTTCTGCAAGTCTCAGGTCCCCACGCCCCACTAAGCCGAGCCAGCCCTCTCCACAGAGCCCCCAGCAGCCCCTTTAGACCCAGGGACTTGGCCTTGCCCTGGGATCCTGACTACCAGGGGCTGCATGGACTGAGGAAACTAGCGCTTAAGAGTTGGGCCACAGAGCCTGCAAAGCTCAGCGCCAGGAGCCTGCAGATTTTAGAATTGTCACCACCAGGGCCAGCAGGTGGCACTGTTGAGCAACAAAACAGGACCCCCTCTGATCACAGTGTTCCCGGTGGCAGTGGGTCTCTGGAAGCCTACGCACTTGCTTTACCCCGCCTGGGGAGTGGGCCTTGGCCTGCAGGCTCCCCGGCTGGGCCCTGGAAAACAGCGCAGGAGGACAGGACGCAAGGAAAGGGTGATATAAGGGAAAGAATTTCCAACCTGCTAGATATCTGGGACAAGCTCGTGTTCTTTAAAATTGAAAAGTGAATTTTAGGAATAGCAGAAATTAAGAGCAGAATATATTTATTGGGGAAAAGAAAGTTTCTGTCCAAGAAAAGAACAGAAGGGGACCTGAGTGGGTTGCCAAGGAACCTGCCATTTCTAGGGACTTTTATAAAGCAAATCCATGATGCAAGGCAGGACCAAAGTGGGAGACATGGAACTCGATAGGTGAGCATGAGGTGGGACAAAACTATGATCAACCAATGAGATCACAAGGATAACTGCCCGGCTAAAATTGTTCACATGATTGAATCAAGTCAGAATCAAGTGGGGAAGCCAGTCACTAGCAAGCAGGCATGAATGCAGAGCAGGGCGCCTCCTGGAGAGGGCTGGGTTAGGCCTTCTCAAGGTGACAGAGACCTATTTACAACGTCAGTCCCTGGTGTTTATCCTTGGGGAGGTCTGTGGGTGCATTGGTTTCATCTCTTGTCCTGCAGTCTGGCCACAGTGGGGTGCCTTCCTCCGTGTGGCTCCTCGAGGGCCAGCCCTGTCTGCTGTCGTATTTCTGTCTAACTCGTTGCTTACGAGAAATGGGGAGACTAGGAGCATCAAGTCTTGGGAAACAGAAAAGCATTCAGCTCTTAGTGCTAGGCGGTACCCACCGAGGTACCCTCTTCTGGAGGGGCAAGGCGGAGGATTTTTAATTCAAGCCCAGCATGGGCAACTTAGCAATGTAAAATTTAAAATTTGTAAGGCTTCAGGATGCAGCTAACCACAGAAGCCCTGGGCTCAGTGCCCAGTTCGTTAAAGAGTATTGATGTTTTTTAAAGATTAAAGTCCACTTTTGAAACCTGACTGAGCCCAGTGGGAGCCGCTGGGGCTTCTGAGCTTCCTAGGCCTTCACGAGGATGCCCAGGCTCTCTGGGGACCTGGGCCGCCCCTTAGCACATGCCATGCCCTTCCTTGGGCGTGGTACTGCCTGCAGGGAGCACGGACACCGATGACCTTTTCACTCCAGTGACTTCCACTGGCTTCTCCTCCATCTCGAGTGAAGTCACAAAATCCCTGTTTAGCATCAGGAATGCAGAAAATCCTTCATGTTTTTGTAGCATGACTTAGCTGGATAGATGGTTGGTAAGTGTGGCCCATACCCTGCCCTGGAGGGGGAAGTCTCAGCAGCCACACTCCCTCCTGCAGCAGGGCCGTCTCAGGTTCTCCCTACAGGCACTGGCATGAACTTCTGTCCAATGCATCTTGGCCCTGTCACCAAGTTCCCGCTGGGTCTTAGGAACAGGGTAGTGGGCGCCAACACTGGCAGCAGGACCTTGGAGTCCAAGGAGACTTCAGGGAGACCAAGCCAAGCTACCACGCCTTCTATCCTCCCCTGCAACCCCTGTGAAACCACCACAGCCTGGGTGCCCCAGCCCCAAGAGGTGAGCAGGTGACAGTGCCAAGCAGCAAGGCCAGCTAAGACTACAAACTGAGTGCAGTGATTGCTGGAGCAGTCCCAGCTTGCAGCTTTGCTACAAGTTGTCTCTCTCTGTCATAAGTGGAAAGCCAAGCCAGGAGGCTGATACCCTCCTGAGGTCACTGGTGGGACACAGCCTGGACCTGGTCCTCATCTGCTCTCTTGAGAGGAGAGTGGGGCCAGGGACATTGACAGCCTAGCCCTGGACCTCTTCTGGGCCCAGAGCCCCTGAGGGCCAGAGCACAGATGAGGCTGTCCTGCTGTCCTGCTGTCCTGCTGTCCTGCTTGGGGACGTTGGTGTGGACATCAGTGCCCCTGGGACTGAAAGCCACAGGAGGAGCTTCCTGCAAATGCGTCCAGGGCCAAGACGGGGGTAGGAAGCATGGGAAATGAGGCCACACAGGACTGATCTCTCAGGAATAGAGTGATCTCTGGAATTCATTGACCTCCTCTCAGGAACCAGCTTTCATGAGAAGATGGATAGAGGATGGATGGATGGATGGATGGATGGATGGATGGATGGATGGACGGATGGACGGACAGATGGATGGATAGATGGATGGGGAGATGGAGAGGTGGGATGGACGGTTGATGGATGGGTGGATGGATAAGTGTATTACCAGATGGGGTCCAAGGAGGTTTCCCCAAAGAGGAGGTAGGGACCTCAACCTGCTCTGTGGAGTAGGTACATTGACTGTCATCACAGAAAGGCACTTTGGGCTGGATCGGGGAGCTGTGTGGGCAGATGTGTTAGGCAGAGTTGGGAAGTAAAAGTGCAGGGGCTTTAGTTTGAGCTGACGGGGGCACAGGTCTGATGGAGGGGACAGAATGAGACCAGCCTTTACGGAGCAGCTGATGTGCGCTGGGCTCCGTCAACCAGTGCCTCAGGGGTGGAGTCCTTGGCAGCAGAGGGGCAATTCTAGCTCCAGGACGTGACTGTTTCTGCCTAGGGCCATCTCACTCTGCTAGGGGCTCTGCTGGAAACCAAGGTGAACCTAGGCTTAGAGCAACAACTAGAAACATCTGGGCACTCGTTGGGATTAAACACCCTGCGCATCTCTTGTCTTGGTGTCCTTATTCTTGAAGGGGCGAATTCTTGTACATTCAGGTCTGACCAACTGGGCAGCACCCCTGAGGGCCGGCTCGCCTGCCTGCAGCACCCAGGGAAGATCTGACCCAGAGATCCCGCTGGGTTAAGGAGACAGAAGCAAGGGAGGGTCCAGCTTTGTTCGGCTTGTAGCTGCCTGCTGGCATTTGTAGGCCTGGAGAAGCATCACTAACGTTTAGCATGAACCACTCTCAAGTTCTGGCTGCCTTAGAGGAAAATACAAGCCATGATTTTAATGACTAACAGGTTAAAGGCCCTGCAGTCAGGTTGTCCTCTGTCCCTGTGATGGTCTCTGTGCCAGACGGAGGGAGGCTGGATCAGGGGACGAGTGTGTGTACAGAGGAAGAGGGGAGGGTGGGCACATGAGTAGATAGCGGGCTGGCTGGGGGGAAAGAGGGGGTGGGCAGGAGGATTAAGACAAGGGAAGAAGGCTGGAGGGTACAGGCAGGTGGTGGGTAGGACAGCGGGTACATAGACAGGGCAGTGCCCCTTCCGATCTCCTCAGCGGAGCCACACAGTGTCCTGTTGCAGGTGGACATGAGCTCAGCCCCGGAGAGAAAAGTGGGGACAGTGAGCAGACAGAAGAGGATGGACAGCCGGACACAGGGGCCCGGGCCCAGCCCCTTGGCAGCAAAGTGAGTCCTGGCCTGGCACCGGAGGTGCCCCCACCCCTTCCTGAAGTCCAGCTCTGGTCTCCTTTGCAGCCAGTGCTCTCCCTGCAGTCAACTCACCCCTGCCGGGCCCCCGCCCCACACGGCAGCCTCGTGGTCACCTACAAGTCAGCCTGGGGGCCCAGCAGAGCCTTGAGGAAGGTCTGGCCCAGCTGAGTGGAGTTACAGGGTACACAGCATTGCAGGCCTGGATGCCCTGGAGCATGCAGGATCCCAGGGGCCTTGGGAGCCTTTGCGGGGCAGGACAGAGAGCCACAGGTGGTCCTTGGGAAGCTCCAGCTTGTGCCACTCACAGACCACAAGCCTCGTCTTCATTGGTATCAGTGTTCATTTTCTCGCTTTGAGTAGCAGAGAAAGCCAGACAGCCCTGGGCTTCAGGGTCTTGGGCAGGATGCCAGGGCCAGAGAGGTGGATAGAGGGGCTGGCCAGCAACCAGAGCTTTCACTCAGACTCTCTGGGAGTGACAGCTGCTAGCCAGGCACAGAGACATTTTTCACAGGAAAACTTGATCAGGGCCTTGTGCTAAGCCTCAGAATGCCATCCTGTGCCTGGAATATTCCCTATCAGGAAGAAGGTTAAAAAATCAAAATATGATAATTATGATGAGAATTTAGAAGTAAACATGCTCACCCAAGAGCATAGCCCACGACACCTCTGCCCCTGGCCAGGTGCCCCCAGCAAGGGACCTTGGGGCTCAGTGCAGCTCTGGAAACAAAAACCTGGTGCAGGAAGGTGCAGGGGGCAGTCTGAGCCCCTCGCTGCGCCCCTCACACTTAGGTGTGTTTTTGGGAGGATGAGACCCCTGCAAAGGAGGCCACACCTCCCTAGGCTGAGTGGGGGTGGGGATTGGGTCCCCAGGTCCAGCTGGCTCCCAACCCCGGTCTCTCTCATCTGTCACTCATGAAGAAGAGGCGCCTCCTTTCCTTCCATGATCTGGACTTTGAGGAGGACTCAGACAACTCCATGGAGCCTCACAGCCGACCCCTGAGCCTGCCCTCAGTCCTAAGGGCCACAGACAGCCTGCAGGTCGGTGACTCATGTCCGCCCCACCCTGCCCAGGAACAAGAGCAGCAGGTGCTCAGGCCCAGGCTGGGTGGTGTTCCGGGAAGCAGTGTCCAGCGGCCCTGCGGTCATGCTAGGCTCTTGGGGTAGGGGCACAGTGAGGGCAGAAAGGGGGACATGGGTTTCACAACTGCCACACCCTCCCAAGGCAAGGGTCCCTGGAGGGGTTGAGCAGAGGTGGATAGGGCAGAACCCTTCAACTGAGGAGGGCTGGTCAGGGGTGGAATCTGCAGGGCCTGTGTCTCACTGGAGGGTGCGGGGGGCACCTTAACTTTACTGCCCAGCCTAAGCCCATCTCCTGAGTGCAAAAGCAATGAGAGCTGGCATCCGCAACGCTGAACAGGTGAACCAGGCCTGGGGTCAGCCTGCTCCTGAGCCAGGGACTTCATAGCCCTGGAACCTCACAGGGAGTCCACCCCTCGTCTGAAACAGCAGTGAGCGCTTCTGCCTCCTGGGATTATTTTCAGGCTGTACCCAGTGGGCAAGCAGTGAATGCGGCTCTGAGCAGGGGAGCCGGGACAAGGCCCGAAAACTGCATCCCGCTTCTTAGAGACCATGCTCCCCACTGCCTGTGTCCCCTGCGCTCACACAGTGCCAGCCAGAGGACCACGGGGCTGTGCTTGTCCTGGCCTGGCCTGCAGCCCTGCGGTAGGAGGAGAAAACAGGCCGGAAGCAGTGCCCACGAACCATTGGGCGGGCCCTGCTCCCCCGCTGGTCAGACCCTGAACTTGTACTTCCTGTGCCCTGCCCCCAGGCCTGGCGCCTGTCACTGCAAAGCCATCCACACCTCGCTTCCTTGGGGACAATGACCCATTTGCCAAGAGGTCCAGAGTATAACCCGGGAAGCCCTGCCCCGTGCCCACTGGGTCCCTTCTGACATTCATGGGTTGTTAACAGGGTCACAGTGACCTATGCAGTCAGGCAGGTGACATTGTTGCTGGTGCCACTGCAAAGCTGACCATCCTGCCTGTGTTCAGTGCCTCCCAGGTGACCTCCACTCAGCTGACGCCACTGGGAGCCCACAGGAGGAAGACGCCGGGGCCTCGGGGTGCCAACCCCATGCCTTGGAGCAGCCAAATGGCCTCTCACCCTCAGGACAGGACGCCCCTGCGGAACTCTGCTTGCCTGCAGACCCCAACGCTGCAGCTTTGCGGATGGCTGTGGTACCTGGTGGGTGCCCCTGCCAGACCCTGCTGGGCAGACTGTGTGGGTCAGAAGGTGGCTGGGTCGGAAGGGCCCCTTCCTTCAGCACAGCTGTCTCATGTGTGCATCCTGGCCAGCATCGCAGACTCCTGGGGTCCCTGCTGCCCTTGTGACACTCAAAAATGCCAGCAGAGGGGCTGGCAAGCACCCAGCGTGGGTATGAGCAGGCACACTCAGCAGCCTTGCTGACTGCAGACAGACAGATACACCAAACCCAGGCTGCTCTAAGGGGTCCGTGGAGCAGTCCCCGCCAGACGCCCATGGCCACCAATCAGCTCCATTGAATTTTGCCAGATGGTGTTGCTTCGAAGTGAAATCCCGAATCACCACCCTCCCCAGGCTCCAGGGAGGCAGTCGATGGGTTCAGCAGTTCAGGCACCAATTAAAGTCAGAGCAGACAGAATCAGGGTAGCAGACAGCCTTCCCACCGCTGGGCACCACCATCTCCTGGTGTCACTGTACAGCAGGGACGGGGTGGGGGGAGGTCATGGTCCTCACGCCAGTTAGGATCTGTGGGCTGGGGTGGGGGTAGGGTGCAGGACTCTGCCTCCCCCAAACAGTGCATGACTGAGTCCATGCTGAGCAGTTCAGCAGTTGTAGGAGCAAGGACAGAGGACACTGGGTCTCCTCCCCTGACTGTGGGTTCCCTGGCAGTAGAGGAGAGGACAGGGAATGGGCAGAAGACCCCACAGTCAGCAGTGCTAAGTTTGGAGCCCTGCACCCAGGCCTCCCACAGGTTTTCACACACGGGTGTGTGGTCCAGTGAGCGCAGGGTGTGGAGGTGCAGGGCAGCATCTGTCCCCAGATGCAGGAGGCTCAGGACGGGCACATGAGGAAGCCCTGTGTGCCTCAGTGTCTGTGAGCACTTGGGGTCAGCAATCTCCACACTGCAGGGATGGGAGGAGGTGGTCAGGTCCATTCACTGCTGCTGTGGACAGACTGAACTACACACGTGTGACTCTGGGGGTCAGGAGTGTGGCTTGGCACAGGGTCTCCCAGGCTGTGTAAGTAGTCTGCAGTCTCACCTGTATTCACACCATGTCCAATTCAGCCAGTGACTGGCAAAGTTCACCAAGCACCGCAGCCAATAGGACAGCAAAGGAAATGTGTACCCTTCGCTTCGGCAGGAGCTGGGGTACGGGGCCAGCAGCGTGAGGCTCGCCCCAGGGCACCCCTTCCCTGCCCCCTCTCCCAGGTGGGGCTGTCTGGCCAGGCAGAGTGTGGTGAGGGTGAAGGTCCTACATGGGGTGCCCCTGCCAGGAGGTGTGCAAATCACAGGTAGGGAAGCCACCGCATCAAGGGATTTCATCGTGGCCCCGCTGTGCTCGAGCCCCTGTGGTCTTCACGGCACGAGCCACACTTGTTAGCGCTCAGCTTCCCACTCCAGGCTGTTCAAATCTTCTTGTTCTCCTCAGAGACAAGTGCCACCAGGAAGGGGCGGCTCCCCACACAGTACCTGGCTGACGTGGACACCTCCGATGAAGACAGTGTCCACAGATCCAGGGCGACTTCGCAGCATCCCAAGCGGAGAGGCCGGGCTGCACTCAAGACCCAGGTAACAGGGCTGGCCAGATGGCTCAGGCAGGCTCAGGGACCAGGACTTTATCCTCAGCATGCTGTGCTGGCCCTGCGCTGAGAGGGGAATGAGACTGGGTGTGGTGGCACGCACCTGTAATCCTAGCTCTTGGGAGGCTGAAAACAGGAGGATCGCTACAAGTCTGATCTGTGCAGTGAGACCCTGTAGACCCTGTACTAAATACACACACACACACACACACACACACACACACACACACCAAAAAAAAAAAAAAAATTACATGTAACAGTGGCCACAAAGGATGTGGTCTGGCAGACCTGCACCCTCATCCTGTGGTTGGGAAGCTGGAGAGCTCTCCCCCCATTTCACTTCCTCAGCCTTTTGTACCCTGATGAAAGAATTCAGTTAGGATACACGGGCTGTGCAGAAGCTTCGGTAGAATTTATTGTGAAGTTCATGCAAAAAGAATCATGCCTTTGAGAGGGCAGAGTGCCGTGAAGGCATCTGCCCCGAAAGCTAGTCTGTCACCTTGGCACCCGAAGTCCCCTGGGGTCTGGGCCTCCTCCTCAGCAGGACATGCAGTTGAGCCCCAAGCTGACTTTGTAGCCCCCCGCCCAGCACCCTGCCTCCCAGGGCTTGGGAAGAGGATGTGGCATTCCACAGTGACAGTGTCAGGCACTCCCTCCCTCCCCAGTCGCCACACGCAGAACATGTGCCGGAAGACAGTGGCTGCCTGCCTAGCACACTCGCCAGAGCATCGATCGCTGCCCCCACGGAGGGGAGATGGGGCTGGGCCGGGTTCCCAGGGGCCCCTGTAGTGTCACAGATGCTCTCCAGCGCCTGTTTTTTCCTACTCAAGGCCCTGGGTGCCACAGAGGTCAAGCTAATTACCTGCCTGCTAATGTAAGTGTCCCAACTCTCGGTGCTGTTTCCCCTCTGAAGGAGGTGGTGACAAGGTGACTGTGCAGAAGAGCCACCCCCGCCCTGCACTCGCGCCAAAGAGCATTGATTTCCCAGCCTCCATCGGAAGCTAATAAGTTGCGGTGACTCATGAGCTGGTGACTCAGGGAGGGGAAGTGGCCCTTCTGGTCACTTTCAGTGACACCTGGAGTGCTGCTTTCCGGCCCAGGGTGACCCAGATGGTGGCCAGCTAGGTGATAGCTTTGGTGTGACCACACCCTTGGCTTGGCTCACATCCTCCTGTGGTGCTCGGTGGTGACCATCACGGTCTAGCAGTGATGCCAGTGTCATCTCTTCAGCTTCAGCTTCCTGGTCCCCCGGCTCTGCCCCCTCACCCCCTGTGTCACTGCCACCCTCCCAGCCTCCCACCTTTCTTGATGTCCCTGGGCCCTGGCTTTGAACCCTCCTGGCTGTGCCCTAGGGAGTGGTCTTGCCCTCCTTCCACCCCTGGGGAACACAGGGCTTTGCAGGTGCTGGTACTGGTGCTGGTGCTGATGCTGGTGCCAGTGTCCTGCTGAAGGCAGCACGTGGGCCCCTTGGTCACTGTCCTGTCCCTGTGGCAGATCTCTGGGCTGGGTAAGCATGTGACAGCTACACAACGCCTGCTAGCCACTTGGAGACCACCATCTGGCCTCCCTCAGGCTGAGGGGCTGGGTGGGAAGGTTAGAGTGTGAGGCCCTTACAGGCCCGAGAAGGTCGTCTGTCAAGGTCCCAGCCTGAGGCGCAAGCTCTCTGTGGTGCTGGCTGCCGGCCGTCTCCATACCCAGCTCACCACTGTGAGGCCACTGGCCCGCCCAGGCCCACTGCCATGCCATGTGGTGACCAGACGGCTGGGACAGACATCAGCGCCCACATGGGCCCTAGGGGTGCTGGCCCGGGCCCTGGTGGGCAGGTGTCCTATGAGCCGGGATGGTGGCTGTGTCATCAGTGTGCATCTTGGCCCCATCATGCTGTTCTGGCAGATACTGAAGGCCCTGTGACTTACACCGGTCCAGGGTGTTTTCTCTTGTGGTTCTGGGGGCTGAGGAGCCAACAGTGAAGGCCACACCTGGGGACAGTCTGCATGTGGTGCCATAGCACAGTGCAGGGGTGGGGGCTGTGAAGCAACCACCAGGGGACAGGACTGAGGCAGAAACTCGCAGAACTGCGATGACTCCCAGGACTTGGCCACCCCAAGGCTGCACCCCCAAGCCTGATGGCCGCCACTCGGTCCCCAGCACAAGGCCTCAAGCCATTGCCAACCCAGCGCAGGTGTGTGCTAGACAGACACTCGAGCTCAGGGCTTCACTGTGAGGAGTGGCCGCCCGCCTGGGGCACCAGGGCCTGGGTGCAGGCTGCCACAGGCCTGGTCTGGAGCAACCAAGCTCCCCAAGTGCCCTGCAGACAGGAGGCCTTGAGACTTATGCCTGGAGCCCTGGCCAGTGAGGACAGCAGCTGGTCCTGCTGTCCCACCACCTGTCACTGGAGTGTGCTGTCGGTGTTTCCCATAGGTGTGTCTGTGTAGTGTGCATACAGGGGTGATCAAATATACGGCAAGTGTTTAAATTATGAAAAATGTGGAACAGGAGATCATCTCGCTGCTCGAAGTCCTCCCCTTGCTTGGAGTGTGCTCAGCCATCTGCCCTGTACTTTCTGAGGCAGCCCTGGAGGCCTGTCTCCTGAGCATCCTCACACGGTGGCGGGATCAAAACAATCGCGACCGCTGCTGCCGAGCACCATCCACAGGAGAGGTGTCCTCGCTGGTTCACTGGACTGGCCTGTGGGGCTGCTGGCATTCCCCCAAAGTGAAAATGACCGAGAAGGGTCGAGGTTGGATTTGAGTCAATTCCCAACATCCAGGAGCCGGGACAACGCGGCCAAGGCCACCCAGGAGAGAGGACTCTGGAGCCGCTGTAGACTGTGGCGAGAAGGGACGAGTGTGTCCAAGCAGGAATGGCGAGGCATTCCTGCACAGGGATCTTTACCATAATAATTTTTTAAAGTTGAAGCACTCACTGTGCTGCTCAGACCCGGCTCAGGCATGTCCTTGCTTGGTGACCCAAGCAGGGGCAATCCCGCCTCTCCAGAGGCTGCCCTTCTCCCCACCCGGCCCCCTTCTCTCTCATTAGGACCCCGCACTCACTCATATGTAATCTGGGGCAGCTAGATTGCTGCGGCCCCAGAAGTTCATAGCCCGAGCGCTGCACAGCTCTTTCTCCCTGTGTTCTGGGATTCTGGTTCTGATAGAAGAGAATCCAGAAGCCACCGGGCCACCTCTCCGTCTAATTATCAATCTAATTAGCCTCTGCCTGTGGCCCTGTGAGGCCGCTGACCCATCCTAACAGGAAATTAAATGACGGTGACCTGCTGGCCTGAGGAGGGATCGATCAGTGCCGCCTGGTAGAAGCAGGGCACACGTGGCTTCCTAGGGACAAGCTGGGCTCCTGGGAGCACTGCAAGGTGACACAGCGGCATGCCCAAGAAGAGAGGAACAAGGGCAACACTGAACCCGTCCCAGGGGCAGTTCCCACGAGTCTGCATTGTAGGCAGAGGAAGCACTGAAATGTAGGACAGCTGAGGAAGGAAGGAGTGGACAGACGGACAGACTGTCCTCGTGCCACATTGTTAAGTGGATGTGTGACTTTCCCACCAGGCAGGAAGTGGTATCTAACAACCCAGCAGCAGGGACCTTCTCAGATGGCTCGAGGTCCAGGCAGGAGACAGGAGATGACCCAATGACAGTGTGGACAAGAGTCATGATGTAACAGAAAGCAGAGAGGGATGAAGCCAGGCGGGTGACAGAAATGCCAGGGAGGGGAGGAGTCTCGCAGGGATCGGGCGCCAGGGCCACTGCGTGGGTAGCAGGGCACAGCACCACGTCTTGTCAAGAGTGGGGACAGGAGCAGGAGGCGAACTGATGACAGGACAGGGACGCCCTTGTCATTATGCATATCCAGGACAGAACTCAGGGCCCCCTGCTGTGAGGCTGTTCTAAGTGATGCTGATGTCATGTGGCCATGGTCATTTCTGTGTTTACTTGGAGGCAGCAGGGAGCACCCAGAGACATGATGTCTGGTGTTGGGACAGCAACTTCCTGCCAGGGCAGGGTGCAGGAAGGGCTTGGGGCGGCTGGGGCGGGGGGGTTATGTGCCTGTGGGCTCCTCCAGCACAGGCCTAGTGCAGTGCTAGGGAGACCTCTGGAAGAGATGGGGGTGCCGCCCCTGCTGCAGGGCCGTGACCCTTGAGCAAAGCCAGCCAGTTGTGAAAGGACAGGAACCTCTGGGCCACGCCCCACTCATGGGAGGCACCCAGAGTCAGAGGCACAGCTGACAGATAACTGGAGCCAGCAGAGCGCCTGTGAGCTCAGTGCTCTGGGAGGCTGAGGCGGGAGGGTCCCAAGCTCCAGGGCAGCCTGGCAGCTTAGTGCCTGGTGAGCCCCCACCTCAAAATAGAAATTTAAAATGGGCTGGGGATGTAACTCAATGTGAAGATCCTGGGTTCAGTCTTCAGTGCTACAAAGGGAAGGAGAAGGAAAAGATGGGCAACTTCCAGGCCGAGGGAAGGGAGAGGACTCTATGGAGGCTGAGCCGGCCTCTCAGGAGAAGGAGTCCGTGAGTGGACAGAATGGATGTGGCTATGTCGCCAAGCTGGAGGCTGTAAAATAGTTCCAAGGGTAAATCCTACAGATGTGTCGGGCCACAATAAGAAAAAGTTGCAAGACAAGGGAAGGCCACAAACCCAGAAGAAGGTGGGCTGGACACGGCCATGGGAACTAGACCAGTCCTGGGTCCTGGGTCCTAGGGCCTGGCTCTGTGGTCTGAGGACAGGCTCCCCTAGAAGAGGGATGGGGCCTGGGCTCCCGCGGGCCTGGAGTGCCGCTGGCCATCCCTCTGAGCCCCATCCCCTGTCCGTGCAGCCTCCAGGTGATGAAGCAGTGCACACAGAGGCCGACCTGGAGGAGGAGAGTCTGAGGCAGCAGCTGCAGGCACTGACCAGCGCCCTCAGTGACCAGAGTGCCTCATCCGAGGAGGAAGAGGCTGAGGGCGTGGCATCCGAGGCAGCAGCAGAGGTGCGACCTCCACAGTCCCCTGGACTCGGCAGAGGGAGGCACAGGGTGGACCATCCCAGCGGAGGTCCCCAGAGTGAGCACCACTGCAGGGGCCTTGAGGTGTGGACTGCTGCTCCAGAAGCCCAGGGCACAGCTCAGTGTCTCTCCCACATCCCTGTGGTGGCCACTTTCATCCTTTTCCTTTGTAGGTGAGCACAGCTGCTGGCCTCACAGACAGCTGGGACAGCAGCCCACCAGGCCGGGGAACCTCCACCCCACCCAGCAGGACCACAGACGAGGCACTGCTGGAGCTGGAGGACAGAGTGGCTGCAGCAGCCTCCGAGGTGCAGCAGGCAGAGAGCGAGGTAGCCCTGCTGCCAGGGCAGGCAGGTTCCCAAAGACAAGCAGTGAGCCGGTGACTGGCCGGGACCAAGCCGCAGGGGCTCACACAGCCCCTGGGCCCACCCCTGGCCCCTTCCCTGGTGACTGGAGGGGGTCGGCCTGATCTGTAGCCCTGGTCCCATGCTGAAACCACACAGCCACCAGGGCCAGCTCTGGGTGGGCCGGGGCTACGCTGGAGCCAGGCAGCAGCTACAGGCAGGGGTTCTGGGGAGGAGTGGACACACCAACAGCACGTGGGTCAAAGGCATGAAGACCCCCACAGGTAGCCTCGTGGGGACACCCTCTGTCCTCACACAGAGCACTGCAGGGACAGCCCCCGCCCCTGTCCCTTGTCCCATGTCTCTTCCTGCCAGCCCAGGAAGGCAGGCGTGGACCCCAGTGCCAGCCCTGGCAGAGGCAGCTCCGTCTTCCAGGTCACTCACTGCTTCCTGGAGCACGGCATGCTCATTCAGGGCACAGTGGGGACAGCGGTGAACGTGCTAGACTATGCCCCTCCTGTGGGGGGAGTTGGGCCACAACAAAATCATTCCACCCTGACACAGCTCTGACGGCCTTAAGGCAGGGGACCCCATGGTGCTGGGTGGCACTATGTCAGAAGCAGTGGAAGGGACACTACGAAGCCGAGGGCAGCGAGGGGCTGGGAGCCCAAGATGGGAAATGGCTTGTGCAGAGGCCCTGGGGCGGTGCTGGGCCTTGAGTGTCCACGGCACAACCCTGACAGGTGGACAGCTGTGGGGAAGGGGAGAGACAGGTCCCATAGGAGGGTGCCTGGCAGGCAACCCAGGGTCACAGGAAAGCTGGGGCAGGGCTGGGGTGTAGTTCAGTGGTCAAGTACACGCTTAGCATGCACAAGGCCCTGGGTTTGATCCCCAATACCATGAAAGAAAAAGAAAAATTGAAGCAGCCCACCAGAAGGAACTGAATGGGAGAGGGGATGCCAGCTTGGTTTGGCATCCAGAAGCTGGTTCTGGGAATGGAAGGTGGGTACAATGGTCAACACTCCCACCACTGGCACAGTGCCCGGCATCCATAACATCAAGCAGGGAGGATAATTAGGCTCATGATTTCAAGGCGTTCAGCCCGTGGTGAGCAGGCTCTAGGCAGGAGCACCATGGCAGAAGGGTGTGGTGGGCAAAGACGCTCATTTGTGGCAGCGGAAGTGAGCTCGACAGCTCCCCAAGCTCCCAAGCCATCCAGTCAGCACAGCCAGGCTTCACGGTGACAGCAGAGGTGCCCAGGCCAGCATCGGCCCACAGCGGCCAGCCCCACACCTCAGCCCTACCTGACAGGGCTCTTGGCTTGCTTGGAGCCCTTCCCCACTGCTCAGGAGAGGGGCACAAGAGCACCCCCATTATGGAAGGAGTTGGGGGGAGACTACCAGCCCTTGGACATGCCTGTGGTTGAGAACTCCCTCAGCCCCCAGGGGAAGCAGCAGCCAGAGGGGCTCCAGGCTGAAGGCAGCTGCCGAGATGCGATGTTGGCGGGGTGACTGTCTGGCCACATGCTGTCCACTGCTCTGCAGGTTTCGGACATCGAGTCCAGGATTGCAGCCCTCCAAGCTGCGGGGCTCACAGTGAAGCCCTCGGCCAGGCCCCGGAGGAAGTCAAACCTTCCGGTGAGTGGGAGACCACCGCACCCTGAGACCTCCCCAGAGACCATGGTGCTGAAGGCTTGGGCCCCGGCCAGCTGCCAGCCTCTTTGAGCTGCGGTCCACTGTAGGGCATGGCTGTGACCCAGAGCCAGAAATGCACAGCCTAAGCCACCATCAGCAACCTGGCACACAGAACCCCTACCCAGGGCTCCAAGAATTCCAGCCTTAAGCCAAGTGTGGCGTGGACAGGGAAGCCACAGCAGGAGCCTGCATCTTCCCCAGCAAGCCTGGGTAGGGCCTCAAGAGGCCTGGGCTGGGGAGGGGAGAGTGGCCAGAGGGTGATGCTCTTGAGGCACTGGAGGGGTTGCCAAGGAAACAATGAGCCTGCATCTCAGATGAACAGCAAACAGTGTTCCAGGGGAAATGCAGCCATGAACTTTGAGATCATACTTACTCTAAAAGTTACTGTTTCTCTGAAATGGAACATTAACGGGGGAGTCCTTTTTTGAGGGGGAGGCAGTGTCTCACTATGCCATCCATCCAGGCATCGAACCCCCAGCACTCCTCCTGCCTCAGCCTCCCAGTGCTGGGATTATGGGCTTATTATTATTATTACTATTATTATTATTATTATTATTATTATTACTATTATTATTATTATTATTAGCAGATTTTAATCTGCTAAGATCATAACCCGGGCCCCAGAAGCAGGAGTTTGGGGGACTGCAACCCCAGCATTCTTTGCATTTTTATTACTGGCAGTTTTTCCCAATACTGGAGATTGAACCAAGGGCCTCCTCAATGAGCTACAGCTTAGCTATTTTTTGTTTCGTTTTTATTTTGTTTGTTTTTTGGGAGACAAGATCTTGGCTAAGTCACTAAATTACCCAGACTGGACTTAAACTTTCGATCCTGCTGCCTCAGCCTCCCAGGGGCAGAGGTCACGGGCATGTGCCAGCACTGCTATCCTACCCCAGCATTCTTTACCAACCCCACAGCCGGCCGGCCCACCCCAACTCTTGCCCCAGGCCTTCTGCTCCACAGGACAATAACAGCACACATCACTTCCTTTGCCTTCCAGATCTTCCGGCCCCGACTGGCAGGGACCCTTGGCAAGAGTTCTGAGGATCAGAATTCAGACCCTGCAGAGGAGGGCAAGGTGTGTGTAATCCCAGCTACCCGCAGAGGCAGGCCAGAGTGGGCAGCCTTGGAAGTACAGAAGAGGGTTTGGGCCAAAGCGCTTGTTGGGGAAAAGCAAGGAGAATCCTGTAAGTTGGTGGAGAAGGAGACACAGGAAGGAAGAAAGCTATGTGCGCTCTCTGGCCTTGAGGAACCCTGGGGAGAGCAGAGGCCATGCTTTGGAGTCACTGCAGTCCAGGATGAGGTGGCAGGGCCCTTGTGTTGGCCAGCCTCCCCACCACCAGGACAAGCCACCTGGAACCTGCAACTTGGAGGACAGGGTTGATTAGGCTCACAGTTTCAGGGGGTTCAGTCCACAGCCAGTTGCTCCAAGACAGGAAATCACAGTGAAGGGTGTGTGGGAGCGAAGCTCTTAGTTCGTGGGGCCAGGAAGCAGAGCAGGGGAAGCAGTGCCAGAGAGGGGGAGTCAGGGACCAGCCATGGCCCTGAGCTCACACCCCCATGACCCGCCCAGCCACACCCAAAAGTGCGCTGCACCCCCTCCCAGGAGGCTCGCAGCCAGTAAGGGTGACAAGTTAGAGCACCACTGCCTTCATCCTCCTGCTCATCACCATGGGAACAGGCGTGTTCCTGGGTGCTTCGGCCCCTGCCTGTGCAGGCTCCTGGATCGTGGCTCTGCCGGGGGACACAGGCACTGGCTGTCAGCAGTGAAAATACCTGGAGCCAGAGTGCAGGAAAACAGCCTGGGATGTGTGGGGACACGGGTGGGGGCATGGAGCAGGTGGAGCTGGGGATCGCCTGTGTTGGGATTGGGGTGCTGTTCCCCACACCCTGGAAAGAGTGGGTCTGCTCCAGCCCACCCCACAGCCCGATACAGCCATGAGCCCCTTGTACACACAGCTGCTCCCGTTGTGACCGCAGTCAGTGCTGCCTTCTGCCCCTCACTCCCCTGCTGATTGCAGACCAGTGTCACATGGGGTTGACACAGCAGGGCCCAGCCAGCCCCGGCCCTGACACCACACCCGCTCCCCTGGGCCATGTGCTCTGAGGGCCAGGAGCCACCTGCAGGCGCCACCCACAGAACAGGTGGGAAATGCCAGGGGCGGGTACTGGACACCATTCTAGGCAATCTGATCCATTTGGCTTTTGCACCTCTAAAAAAGCAAGACAGAGAATGGGCTTTTTTTTTTTTTTTTTTTTTTTTCAGCACTGGGGACTGAGCCCAGGGCCTCCACAATGAGCTGTGTCCCCAGCCTTTTTTTATTTTTCATTTTGAGACAGGTTCTCACCAAGTTGCCCTGGCTGGGATGAAACTTTTGATCTTCCTGCCTCAGCCTCCCAGAGTGCTAGGCTGACAGGTGTGCTCCAGTGACTGTGGCTGAGAATTACTGTCTCATCACACTGTGAGAGACCACTGCTGGAAAGGAGACAGGGAGGGGTGGTAACCAATAGCCACGGGCACCAGGGGCCTCCCATAGCCCCACCTCACAGAGGGGAGACCCATGCAGGACAAGTCCATGCTGCTGTACACACGGGGAGAGGGGGGTGCTGGGGCCGCAGCCCAGATCCCTCAGCCATGGTGTGTTCTTTCACCTGCCTGGCCATTGCCCCCACAGCCAGCACTGCCGAGTTCAGGCACGAGGCCCTGAGCCCACAGAAGGTGTGCACACTGCCCTTAAAATCCTCAAGTGCCAGTGAACGCGAGGCAGCTGAATCCAACGAGGAGAAGCCCCAGCCAGTGTGGCGGGGCAGGCCTGCAGGATCCCGGAGCGCTAGGAGGCACTTGGGGGGGAGGACTGAAGTTCTGCGCAACCTGAGCACTTTAGCAAGTCACTGCAAGCCTGTCTCCAGGCCATGAACGGGGCTGGGGACAGAGGCTTAGGCCCTGGTACTGCAGAAACAGAAAGCAGAGAGGAAAGAGAAGAAAGCTGGACTGAGCCCACAGTGGTTCTGGAGGGCTTGATAATGCATGTACTCTTCCCCCCAGGCGGCAGCTGAGCCCTGTCTTCTCAGGAGAAAGCACTCCCCGAAAGCTCCTGGTAAGAGCTCTGCTCACACCCCTCTGGGCCTGGGGAGTCACTCGGGACAGGACCATGGCCTCTTGGGGTCTACAGAGTTCCCTAGACTCTCTGCACCTCACCTTCTGCCCAGAATCTAGAGAACGCCCCACATGGTGGCACACACCTGTAATCCCAGCACTTGGGAGGCTGAAGCAGGAGGATCAAAAGTTTCAGCCCAGCCAGGGCTGCACAAGTTCAACTCCGTATGAGACCCTGCCTCAGAGAACAAAATCAAAAACAGAATACCCAGTGCCACTCGGGGCCCTGAGGGTCTGGTATGTGGTCTCTGCATGGCCAGAAACTATGCTCAGGTCCCACTGGGCCACTGCTGACCTGTGAGGGAGACACGTCCAGTCCAGAGTTAGGTGGACCAGCTCCAGGCCAGCACCCGTCAGAGCTGGGCCAAGAAGGCATGGCGTCCTGGGTCCCTCCTGCTACCACTGCCTGGGCGGGCCTGGGCACAGGTCCCAGCCTGCAGCCCTCTTCTGTAGCTCTCTGCAGGCCACCTGTGTCTTCCTACTCAGTACACTGAGCCCAGGCAGGGTGCTCCCTGGGCAGAGTGGGTCCTGGGGCCACAGCGCAAGGCAGGAGCAGTCTTCAGAAAGGGACAGTATGGGGACAGTGAGCCAGGAGGACACAGGGCCAGAGTGGGAAGAGGAAGAAGAAATAGGCCCCGTGCCCATGGGGTTGCAGCTCCCTGGAAGGTGGGCCACTTCTCATCACCAAGCCCAAGCACCAGGTCAGGATGGTCCCCTCCTTGGATGGCAGGGACCACAGCAAGCTCCTCTCTGGGGTAGAGTCCAGACCCGTGTCCACTCTGCCACCCAAATCTGAAGAAAATCCAGGGTGCAGCCCCATGATGCTATGCCCACGGGAGGCCTCCCAGGCCTCCCAGCTGCTACTCCAAGGCTGGGGCTGGGGGTGGGCAGGCCCTGACCCAACACGTACACAGCAACTGCTGTGCTGTCATTGCACCAAAACACGCTGTATGGCCAGGATGCCCCATATCAGTCTGTCAGCCATTAGGGTTTTCTCCAGAGGCCTCAGGTCACGTGCTTTTGGTACAGTTATGGTGAATAAACCCCCCCCCCATTCTGTTTCCCCAAAGGCAAAGATGAGGAGCCCTTCGAGCGGAAGTCACTGTACCGTGGCTCTCTAACACAGAGGAGCCCCAGCGGCAGGAGGGGCATGGCCCGCCACCTCTTCGCGGTAACTTTTGTTGGTTTAGCTGCTTAGTTGATTGGTTGGTTTTTTGAAAGATGAACAAGCTATGTAGCTCATGCTGACCTTGAACTCATCATGTAGCCTAAGCTGTCCTTAAACTCGAGGAGATCCTCCTGCCTCAGCCTCCTGAGTGCTGGGATTACAGGCGAGCGCCACCACATCTGGCTGTAATGACCTCTTCATCACACTTGCTCAGGAGCCTTTAGAGTTCTGTCCCCTGCCACATTTATGTATTGGTGTTAAGTTTTCAGAGTAGGGGCTGGGGAGACAGCTCAGTAGAATAAGCACTTCCTTGGCAAGCACAAGGGTCTGAGTTCAATCCCCAGTTCCACAAAAAAAAAAAGTTCAGAGTAAAGAAAATTGGGTAAACAGAAGAGATGCAAGGTGAGAGAAGAGAAGCAAAAAGCAAAGTCTACAATACAAAAACTGGACTCAGTCCCCAGTAGTAGCGGAGTGGACCACTGAGACAGAAACGCAGGGGCAAGCAGTGTCACCAGGTGACCCCCTTCCTGTGGATGTCTCGGCAGACACCCTCCCCAGGCACCGGTCTCCCAGGTCCTCAGTCTCTGCAGCCAGGCTGGCGGGAGGTGCTGAGGCCAAAGGCCCCCTGGACTCAGGTAGAAGGTTCACTTCCCGGGCTCTCCCCCACACTAGAACCTCTTTTAGTGACTTACCTGCACCTGTAGCCTTCAGGGGCACAGTGTCCCAACACCAGCTGCCCTCTGTGTGGGGCCCAGGTGTCCCACTACGCATCCCAAACATGACCCTCAGCCTCAGATCAGCAGGCTGTGGAGATGCGCAGGACGGCCCGGGTAGCCCTGTGTCCTAGACCTAGCTCTCAGCTGGGGAACAGAGGCAGGAAGTTATGTAAAAGCCCCAAGAGCAAATAAGCATCCCGCACCAGGTCGGCCTGTGTGGGTGTGGGTGTACCTCGCGCATGCACTCCTGTGTGCAGTGTGCATGCTCGTGCATCTGTGTGTGCGGCCACATGAGTGTGCCCACCCGGGTCACTGAGACTGTGTGTGTGTGCCCTGGTGCACACCTGGCGCTCGCCCGTGTATCAAAGCTGCCTGAGCGCATCTGCGGGGGCATCTCTGTGTGCACCTGTGCATCCTGCAGGCTCCTGTGAGCATCTGTGTGCATGCAGGGGAATGCTGTGCACACTTGTGTGTGTGTGTCCATCTCTGCAGAAACCCGTAGTGGCCCAGCAACCCTAGAGAGGAGTCATGAGACGAGGACAGCCACCAGTAGCCTGCACCGTGCCCACCACACAGCATACCTGTTCTCTCAGCGCCACACTTCTTGCCACGCAGTCACCACCCCTGACAGCAATGGGAAGAAGACCTGCCGCTGTGCACTCCCGGCTGCCAATGCCCACAGCCCAGACCCCAGCTGCTCGCCGGATGCCCAGCTGAGCTGGGAGAGCTGGTGTGACCATCGGAAGGATGCTACCGTCTTGGGCTGTGGGAGAAACAGGGTGACCTCTGTCCCTGTGGTCTACTGACCATCTGCAGTTGGCTGTGCTGGGTGGAACAGGGAGGTGATAGGTTGGGCAGATATGAGCACAGGTTTGTGGCAGTGAGTGGGGCTCTAGGCATCATCCAGGTGACTGCACATGGGCCCCACTGGGCACCAAGGAGTAGAACCTGCCTGCCCCATGAGCCCGTTCTGCAAGCCCCATGGCCTCGGGCAGGAACAGCTGCACCGCTCACCACAAGCTCCCCGAGTCTCCCCCATCACCCCCAGGGGCACTCCCTGTCCAAGCTTCGGGGACACCATCTGAACAGTGGCCCATGACTCATACTTCAAAAATAAACTTTGCCAATTCACAAAGGTGTTTGCTTTTACATTTTCACAAGAACTGGGTTTTCAGATGCCATCTCTATCAGAAAGGCTTTGAAAAAAAAAATTAAAAAAAAAAGGCTTTGCTGGTACCTGGTTTCTTCCGCCCAAGCCAGGCACAGATGCAGCTTGGACAGAGCCCACTCCCAGGGTCCCCCCTCCCCCACAGCTTTATGGTGTCTTCTAGGTGCCCAAAGGGCTCCCAGGCATGAGGACCACGCAGGCCACAGCCACAGGCCCTCTCGTTGCCTGCAGGACAAGAACCAGGAGGGAATACTTTGTCAGTCCATTCAGGCAATTTCTGGAGTCCTGTGCTACTGTCCTGGTGGCTTCGAGGACAAAGTTTCACCACCTGGGTACAGCAAACCACAAACTATTCTCTCTGCGTGCAAGGGCCAGAAGTCCAGAATCAGGTGTCGGGAGGGTTGGGTGCATCTGAAGTCCGTGAGCACCACAGGCTCCTGCCTCCCCCAGTTTCCCCCAGCTTCTCCAGCCTCTGGTGCTTCCAGCTGACTTTGGTGCCTCCTCTGTCCCTGCCTGTCATTGTGAAATCCTGAGTAAGCAAAGACAGACCATGAGCATGCTCACCCCCCACACACCAGGACCTGTGACCCTCTGGGACAGGTGTGGGACAAGCTGCCCAGCCTCCATCTGCAGCTGAAGCCCTGTATGTCCCCTCCTCTGAGAATGCCAAAGTCAGGCAGCTGGGGGTTCCCGGGCGGCCTGCAGTCTCGGTCCCTTGGGGCAACAGCCCTTCGCCTTCTGCCACCTGCTCCAGCCATCCAGGGCCTCAGCAGCTCCCGGGTCTCTAGGGATATCTCAGACTTGGGTGATGAGGGGCCAGGACTGATGCCAAGACCCCTGGGCCACCACCCTCCTACCCTCTGCCTCCATGAGGGGCCCCAGAACCGGCAAGGTGCCCGGGCCACAATGAGGAAGCTGTTTCACCTTTGCACACACACACCCCCACTTACACCTATGCTCACACTCACACACAGCGGTATGCAGGTTCACATGCTCCCCCTTCGGGGTTTCACGGCATCCACTGCTCAGCAGAGCACACTGCTCAGCAGACCGCACTACCCAGCGCAGCTGCCCACAGGGGCTCCTGTCAGCCCATGCCTGAGCTGCGCCAGGAACTCTGATGGAATCCCTGTGAGGTGGAGCCCGGCACTGGGGACTCAGATGACCCCACTGTGCCGCCACTCCCTTCCCCATTCCTTACCTGCTCCCCACACCCTACTCTTGGCCACACCCAGACTCTCCAGGAGCAGGAGCAGGTGGCCTGAGAAAGCATAGGGCGCCTCAACCATGCTTTCGAGGTGCTGAGTGACCCTGATGCTCTTCCCAGACATCTTGGAGGCCCAGGAAAAGGGTCCACGAGGAGCCACTGCTTGGCTCTTGCCCTATACATGGCTCCCTCCAGAAGAGAGCATCAGACTGCACTTAGGTATCCCCAATGTGGGAGACACAGGAACCACTCGGGTTCTTAGGGCTGGTTAAACAGTAAGTATTATGCAGTTATTTAAAGTGGCACCTGTGCTGTGGTCAGCCAGAGCCTTCAAGCGCTGCACAAGCAGGACGAGGCTACCAGCCGGTGTGCAGGGCTGTGCTCTAAGCCATGCTGCTGCTTCTGCACTGTGTCGCGTGCAGCACAATGTTCCCAATGTACACGAATGGCTCCTATCATAGAAGTGAACCTATTTATCTTAATAAGCTTGTGTGGCTCGCACGCTTATCAAAGCCATGCACCAGTGTTTTCGGTTGCAAAATGAGGGAGAGGTGGCCGTGGCAGGGCTGGGCACGGTGCGTCCTCCCCACCCTTGCTGGAATGGAGGAGGTGGCTGTGGTGTGAGGCAGCTTCTGAGTGACCGGCGTGGAGCAAGCGGGTTCAGACACTTGACTTTGGAGTCTGCCCAAAGGCGAGCTGAGAGGGAGGTTAATGTGCTCTAAAGCACCGGGCCCAAATGAAATTATATAATCCAGGAAGGGACAAATCACATTGCTCATGAGAATTTAAAAAAAATAAATAAGAGGGGGAAGAAAAGAAACAAAGCCCATCACGTCTCCTCAGGGATGGCAGAGGGAGGGCAGCGGGGGTGTCGGCCGTGTCCCTGGGGAGCTATAAAAGGACACCGGCTCCTACCTGGGCCTCACTGCATTTGGACAGCACCACCACTTCCTCAAGGCAGATCGGTGAGTGAGGGGCGAGGGTCAGCGCTACCCCAGGGGTCCCCTCCATCTGGGTCAGTGTCACCTGAGACCCTGCCTGCCCTCCAGACAACTGAGGCTGGTGCGGAGCAGAGTGAGCTGTGGGAGCAACTGCTGCGGTCTGCACACCCAATCCCGGTGCTGTCCGTGGACGTGACAGGCGCCCTGCTGAGCTCCTCCATAGCCCGGCGCAGGAAAAGCCCGAGGTTTCGGCCAGGCTCCAGCTGGGGAGGCAGGTCCCAGAGTCCACACTGACACCCTAGATGCCCCTCACTGGGCCTTGGATAGTCCCCAAGGGGACAAACAAACGCTCAGCCCACTTTGGGCGTCTGTCTTTATTACTCCCCAAGCTGGATCCCATCTCCTATAGGCTGGAGGCCCCTGCCCCAGGGGTACCCCAGCGGGGTTCTAAACGGGAGCCATTCTAAGCAGCTCTGACAGACAGCACTTAGCACTTCCCACGGGACTTGAGGAAGGGCCCAAAAGTCAAGGGCAGCGGGGAGGTCACGCTGGAACCAGCCAGGGCTGGGAGCAGCTGCAGGTGGTACCTGTAATGTTGGGCCAGAAGGAGGGGTCCTGTGCCGTGGGCGGTGCCACGCAGGTGCCAGCTATGCAACTCGGCTGCTCTGCTTGGCCAAGAAGGTTTTGGAGACGTGCCTCTGCCCCCATGGGGTGCTCCCCCAGGAAAGGATTGTGCATGGAGCCACACGCTCAGCACCTTGGAAGCCCCAGCTAGTCCCCTCTGCCTGGAGGGACCTCTGTGGTCCCGTCTCCTTGGGCCAAGGCCCTCAAGCCTGCCAGCCTCTGGCCTCCCCTGCCAAGGCCTGGCCTGCACCTCCCAGGGTCACTGCCGGGGAAAGAGGCCACAGAGGGCACAGCCCAGAAGGGGGACACCAGGGACTTGCACTCAGTGTCCCTGCATGCGCGCACGCACACACACGCGCACACACACACACACACACACACACACAGAGTTCACTCTCACATACAACAGGTGGTCCAAAGGGACAGCATTTAGACATTCAAAATTTTATTACGGTAAGAGACCTACTGCTCTCAGGCCCCTCGAGATACCTGGAACACACGGAGGCCGCCGCTCTTTCTGCTGTCTGCAGCAGGTCTGCAGTCCTCCTAGTCAGGGTCTTTGGGGGGTCAGAAGCGCAGCGATGCTGCTGCCTGCACGCGAGCGCCACCAGCGGAAAGGTCAGGTCATGACAACGGCGCAATCCTCTGCGCCTCAGTCGCCAGCCGGCTCTGGCACTGTGCGACTTCCGGCTCCTCCCCAATATCAAACTGACCATGCAATAGAAACGCTTTGAGGCATCGAGGACATCGAGGCAGCCAGGCCAGCACAACCGAAGACTCTTGGGAGAGGGGACTCGGAGCAGCTGCTGACAGCAGCAAGGCTGTAGGGAGGCTGTGTGGGAGGCAGCGGGCAGGTTCTGAGGGGTCTCGTGCCGATTTATTTTTTACTGTAATGAATCTTTATTGAAACATGTGGTATTTTCTGATCACACCTCCCATGCACATGTATACACATGTGCCATACACTGGTCATGTGTGCACACACTTACTCCTGTGTAATTCACTCCTCCTGCCCCTGTGCCCCAGGCTGCAGCCTCCCAGTGTGGGTCGACCTTGGAGGGCCCCATCCAGGACACCACCATGACAGCCCCGAGGGCCTGGCTGCTCTGCCTGCTGCTGCTGGCCCTGGGTCTGCGGGTGGCAGCCAGCCGAGCCAGGCAGCATTCCATGGAGGTCCGCAGTGAGTGCCCGCCTTCTCCTGCCACTGCCCCACCCACCTAGCCTGAGCCCATCCCAGGCATTTCCCACCTGCTAGGTGACTCCTGCTGGACAGGCCTCTCCTGAGTGGCCCTGGCCCCACCACCCCTGCTCAGCTTGCCTGATCCTAGAGAACCCAGGGCAAAAGCCAGAGGGGACCCTGCTCCTGGTGACATCTGACTCGGGTTCCCAAAGTCACAGCCCTGTCCCGACAGCCAAGGGTCCATGGGGGGGTGGCCAGTGCCCTGGCCTGCCTCCCTGCATGTAAGGCACAGCCCAGGCATGGGGCTCTTCTTTTGCAGCCCCAGATATCAATCCTGCCTGGTATGCAGGCCGCGGCATCCGGCCTGTGGGCCGCTTTGGCCGGAGGGGGACAGCACTGCGAGAGGTGCCCAGGCCTGGCCTGCAATGCCCGCTGACCTGCTGCCAGGTGCCGGGCATCCCTGAGTCCCTGCAGGATGGGTAATGGTTGTGGTCGTGAAGACAGGAGCTCGGGAGCCTTCCCACCCCACGTGGGCTGCCTTCCCTGTCCTAATAAAAGCCTGGTTTTGTCCATGCTTGTCTGTGACTGTGTGGTAACAAACCAGAAGGAGTTTCCACACCTGAGTGACCAGCCCAGAAGGAAGCTCAGCACCGGAAGCCTCATTGGAAAGAAGAGCTCCATGGGCTGAGTACGGGGCCTGGGGCCACTTTGGTCACCGGCTTCCACAGTGCCATGTGCACCTGTGTTGTCCCCAGTGGCTGCCCAGACTGTGTGCCCTGCACAAAGCTCAGGTGCCACACGACACACAGCAGCTGCTGCCCGTAGAAGGGCAGCACAGCTCAGTCCCCAGTCCCAGCTCAATTCACACAGGCCATAGGCAGCAGGTGACACAGGCCGTGAGCAGGCAAGCCCCGGCAGGAGCTCGTGGTCCTCAGAAGGTGCCCACCCACAGGACAGAAGCAGATGCCATGCCAGTGGCCAAAGGTGGGCAAACCTAGCACCCCCTGCTCACTTCCAGTTGCTGGAAGGAATGGTTGATCATCTGGGTTCTGGGGACCGGGCACCCAGACTACAGTGTGGAGGGGTGAGGACGCAGCCTGGCGGGTCAGCAACTGCCTCTTCCTGTGCCCCCTGGTGGAAAAGTCTTCCCTCTTGTGTCTCTTCTCAAAAGGGCGCTAATCCTGTCCAGGAGGCCTCTGTCCGCACAGCCTCGTCTCTTCCCAAGCCCTGGCCATACACGGGGGATGAGAATTCCAAGCTGACATAAAGCACAGCCCTCTCTACAATGACTGGGGCGGCCACAAGGTGGCATGTCATCCAGCCATGAAGAGGGGACACTGAGCTAGGCTGTGGCTGGTCAAGCCTTGAGAGCATCGCGCAGAGGGAAAGAGGCAGGCGCATGAGGCCACGTACGGGGCAGGGTTCTGGTGCCCGAACTGTGCAGAGTGTGCAAGCCCACCAGGGCCCAGGTAGACAGGGGCTGCCAGGCACTAGGGATCGCTGGGGTGTGGGCTTCCTCCCGGGGTGCTGAAAATGTCCGGGGATGCCAGACAGGGACTGCACAATGTGGTGCATGAGCAAAGCCACAGCATTGCAGTGACACACAGAAAATGGCCACAGCCAGGGAGCTGGCTCAGAGGCATAAGCACCTGCCTGGCAAGAGACTTCTCATCCAGAGGCGTGTCTTGGCCAGCTGCTTGTCCTTGGAACATGATACCTGGCACTACAACATGCTGGAGGAGAGGGCTATCATGGCTCAGGGTTTCCAGGAGTTCAGTCCATGGCTGACTGGAACAACACAGGGGAAGAGCGTAGCGGAGAAAGGCTGTCGTGTGGTTGGCTCTGGTCCAGGTCCCTGAAGAAACTCAGAACTGAGCAGGACAGAAGAGTTGAAAAGGATCAATGATTTACTTGAAAGAAAAAAGCCAAGATCCATTCCACAAGGAAGGAGCTGGCCTGGGAAAAGAGCTCGAGGCCCTAGGGCTGGGTGCTGAGGATTTTAGGCACTGGGTTTTGGGGTGGGATGAGGGTGTGGTCTGGGCTTTGGCTCCCATCAATGAGCAGCTTGGTTTGGTCCCTCCCTCCCTCAGAGGCTGGGGTTCATGGCTGTCGGGGCTCCCACAGGGTCAACTCCGCTCTGCATAGTCAGTAACTGGTAAGGAGGGCTGGGGCTACCATGGCTGCAGAGACCACAGCACATGCGCAGGACTCAGGGCACCTAAGCCGGGTTCCCTGCTACCCCTTCCTGTGCAGCAGAGAGACCTGGGCCTCCTGGGCCTCAGACATCTCAGAAAGTGGCCCTCCCTTTTCCCCAGCCATTTCCTTGGTTACCTGATGCCTCAGTGCCCGTCCAGGAAGTGGACTCAGGAGGAGTGAAGCTTCTTCTCTATAACCAGCCTTCTCCCCAGCACTTTCTGAGGCAAAGCTGCTTGGTTCATGGGGCAGGAAGCCAAAAGGGGACCACTGCCCCAGAGGAAGGGCCAGGGACCTGCCCACAACCCCAAGGCCACGCCCCCAGATACGCTGGACACCTAGAGGTGGCACTACCAATGGCCTTGTGGGTCCCAACACCAGCCAATCACATCGAGGCTCCTCCTTCAGGGCCACAAGAGGTGTCAGGACTGGGTCTGGCCTCTCCCAGGGAACGGGGAGCACTTAGGCTGGGACAGGATCTCCCCACAGCCTCCCCACAACGGTGTCACTCGTGCTCTGGACTTGGGCCTCTGGAACGCAAGGCCACTTGTGTCTGCTGACAGGGCCCTTGGCTTGTAGCACTTCGTGGGGCAGCCCAGCCAACGAAGTTCTCTTTTCTGTCCAGAGAGATCTGTGTTTCCTACAGCTTCTTATAATGATGGCTTTCAAATGCACAGAAAAGTCGGAAAAATAATTTCCATCGCAGGACGTGGCGGTGTGTGATGTGACCTCAACACTCTGGGAGGCCGAGGCGGGAGGACACAGATGTGAGCCCAGGCAGCGCCACGACCCAATGAGTCCCTGTCTCAAAATCATGTAGTACTTTTTATATACGAAGACTTAGCTCAGCATGAAGGCCCTGGGTTCAATCCCTAGGGCCACCCCCTCAAAAAAAATAGATAACTGCTACATAACAAAAAAATCATGCTTGAAAAAACTGTAACAAATTCATATTGTTGCACGCAACTAAACTTAACAGAAATATTCTAGGCAGTCATGTAGGGCCAGACCCTCAAGGAGACAAGATGGAAGACAAGGTGACTTTGCAATTTTGGAAGAGACAGACACTCCCACTGTGGGCCAGATCCAAGACAAAGAGCAAAACAAACCCAACCACATACTTCCCTAAGGAGGGGCATCATGGATTGATATTCTAAATAGGTACCAATCACCTTGAAAGAGCCTGAAAGAGTCACTAGCCCAACCCCCAACAGAAAGAGACCCTGTCCCATATTCATGCCTGATTGCTACTTCCCCATTTGGTACTACTGGATTTAATCATGGCTGGGGAGATAGCTCAATAGAATAAGCACTTGCCTGGCAAGTGGAGGCTCCTGAGTTCAATCCCTGGTACTGCAAAAAAAAAAAAAAGTAATAATAAATAATAAAAATAAATAAGTAAGTTAAAAAAAAAATCAAACTACTTAATTCTTTGGATTTAGTCAATTTTATCTGAGTAATGGTGCTTGTAATCTCATTGGTTGGCCATAGTTTTGTCCCACCTCATGCCCACCTAAGCGAGGTCCCATGTTCTCCACCACCTTAGACCCACCGTACCACATGGTTTTACTCTATAAAGGTCCCTGGCAGAGACAACTTCCCAGGGACCATCCACTCAGGGCACCCCTTCTGTCCCTCTCTTGGACAGGAGCTTTCTTTCCCCCAACAAATATTCTGCTCTTAATCTCCATTTGTTCCTAAAATTCATTCTTCAGTTTTAGAGAACACGAACTTGTCCCAGGTACCTTTCAGGTCGGGAGGTTCGTTCCCCTATATCACTATTACCTAGTAGTTACCCCGTTCCAACACACCCCAGTGCAGCAAGGAATTCTGAGGCCTTCTTCGAGCCAGGCTCTAACCCAGACGTGGTTGCTTCTGTTTGGTCCCTGGCCCGATGGCTGCATTCCTGCAGCACCGACTCTTCCAGGCGACCTCCCTGGTGGGGGCAGCAGCTGCCTGCGTCCCCTCTGGGAGCCCATATTTTCTGTAGGACCTCCACTTGAGGCTGCTGTCACTCGGTACCTCACAAATAATCTTGATGCTCACGTCCACCTAAATGTGGCCACTGCAAGCCGAAGAAGGGAACACACTGCTTATAAATGTACAGGGTCAACTCTGTTTAGTAACTAGTGGCGGTTTCTTGCTGTCTGCTAGATAAAATTCCTACCTCACCAATTCCTGTTAACAAAGTTAGCTTACAGAGATGACTTCAAAAGTCATCAAAATTTCAAATTAAATAGGCTTTAACTTCTTGTAACCGTGGCTATGCGAGGCTGCCTGCAGGTACTCCGGGGCAAGATAACCGGAAACTAAAAGAAAGCCCCAGGAAATTAGAGTAGTGGTCACAATGACCCTGAAAGCATGATTGTGTCAAAAGGCAATAAATTTGTTTACCAAATAGAATGATGTGGTTCCAGGTTTTAAACCCCCCTATTTCCTGGGCTAGCCGCCTTTGCCTTTCAGTCCTCTCCAGCGTGAGACCTGACGGCCCTGAGCCCAGTAATAAACGGCTTTCCAAATTCCAATCTGGCTGACTTGGTTCCTATTCTGAGCGACCCATAACAATAAAGAGGCGCTCAGCCAGGCATCGCAGAGGAGGCTGAGGCAGGAGGACCGCCCCAAATTCAAGGCACTCACTTACTGAGCCCCTGTCTCAGAAAAAACCAAAACAAAATACAACCAAAAAAGAAAGGAACATCCGTAAATGCTAGGAACGTCGCACGGCTTTCCCCGCTGTTCTCCGGTGGACGGTGGACGGCTTCCTAAGAGACAGGGTGAGGAGCCAGGACCCAGAGCCGCAGGCGGTGTTGGCGCGCCATCTAGTGGCTGCGGGGGCCGCCTCCCGGCTGCTTCAGGCTGCTCGTCTGCAAGCGAGTGCCAACTCAGCGTAGGGATGGTAAGAGGACGTGGCTTCCACGCCTGCGCACGCACGCACGCCACTGCTTTCTCCGCCCGGGAATCGTCGCGTGAATACTGTCCCCAGCATGGTGACCCATGCATGTGACCCCAGCACTCAGAGGCTGAGACAAGAAGATCCCAGTGAGTTCAAAGCCAACAGAATGAAGC